TACACTCTGTTTGTCAACTCAACTTGGGTTGCATTCGTACTCAAATGATCTCATACAGAACGACGTCTGGATCGGACTGAAGTATTTCAAAACAGATGGACACAGAGATCTCTACTACTTTGCGGACTTTTGGTCATTAAAGACAAGATCCTGGGTGGACTATGAATCAGAGACATGCCCTCCTGATGGTTGTGGCAGCGGCCTCAGATCTCAAGTTGAAGGTCATGAATACACAACACCCTAATCCGTATGACGATCTTCTCATAACCTCCAATTCCTCAGCTGAATCGAATTTGCCTACCAAGAACTTCACCATGGAGAGCATGCGTCACGCTAACTAACGATTAGATAACGGGATGCCGCCTACAGGACGTGAGCAATAAGTGTTGAGTTTACTTGATAGCTAACTCTTATATAGCTACCCGGACAGAAAGCCCATTGTCATATGGCTTGTGTATCACTCGATGACGTGAATCGGGAATTTTATCATCCACTTGTCAGGGTACATAGATAAAGCCTGAAAGTTGTGAGGGTAGTTCTTCTCATTGATAGGACTTGTTTCCAGTCCCCCTTTGTATTATACACGAAGCCCCCGGTTGCGAGGTGTTGCTTCAAAAGTACATCCGAATAGGTCACGTCTTCCCAAGCTTTGCCCAAGCTTGCGACGCGATGTTCCCACTCCACGTCCCCGTCCCCATCTCATCCTGAGATGTTGTTGCGTCATGGCATATGCTACAAAGAGCAAAAAGCCAGCCTCCGCGAGGCTGCCCTTGCTCTGTCGATGCTCTTTCTCTCTGTCTCTCCTCTATCATGATTCTTCAGTCGCAAGACCCATCATGACTGGCGCTCATTCGTGCACACTCCATTTCGTTTTGACAAAAACTTAGAACATGCCACCACCCATACCGCCGCCGCCTCTCTTCTGGCTCTCGCTCTGCATCACCTCAGAGGCCTTCATGTGCGCCTCAAAGAACTTTGCGGCGCAGCGGTCGAGGCAGACGGACTCGCCCTTGTTGAGGTCGCCCTCGCGGTAGTCGGGGAGGCACTTGGTTTGGCAGATCTTGGTCAGGCTATGACGCGCATGTTAGCTACAGTTGTTTCGACGAGGTCCTTCTTCCTCCCAAGTTTTATCCTCTATGCATCCGCTTCGCTTCGAGGTTTTAAAAGGCTTGAATGCTTCGAGAGGGGGTTCCCTAGGAAAAGGTGTTGTCGATGGTGACGTACCGGTTGTGCATATCAGCCAGCAGACGCATCTCCTGCTCAGCCATGGCGATCTTCTCGTCCGAAGACAGCTTGGGGCGGCCCATTCCGAAGAAAGACATATTTGCGGTTTGTGGTTCTGGAGCTTCTAATAAATTGGGAAGAGCGAAGTGATGATGAATCAGTAGCGAGGTTCGTGGGATGCGACGGAAGCGATTATTGACTTGCGGATAGCTTTGGTTGCTTGACGTCGCAGAGTCGAGATTTTACGAAGAGCTCCTTTGCCTTATCTTATCGCCCGTCAGCTACCTTATCCAGTCGCGCGCCTGGGGCAATTCAGCTTGTCCCGTCTGCTGCGTGAGGTACGCAAGAGTCGGCCCCCGCTTTGAAGCTCCCTTGTCCAATCGCCGCAGCTGCATTGTGAGCCCTCTTCCCGGGCCGGCTTGTTCCGTCCGGCTTTATCGATAACGTCAAAGACCCGTTTCTGGCCACGATAAAAACGCGCTGTCGCAAAATTTCTGCGCCAAAGGTGATCCTAACACTATCTTTTGGCCACACCAAGAAGAGCCAGAATCTTCTTGGGCGACTATGGTGGTAAGTCTTGAGCTCCGCTCTTCCATTTTCTCTCCCTCTATCCTACCTTTAATATGATGATTGCAAGCAATTCAGAACCGCTGCGACTTACACAGCTCTTTTGTTGTGGTTGATTTAAACCGCCTATTATCTGACATCCTTTCCTGTTTCCAACCTTATTAGCAGCCCATTGGTCTTGTAAGAACCACGACGCTAACAGGAATCAATCAGACGCGATGACTTTAATTCAGAGTCTACGGCTTTTGCGGCCGGCAACACGCACACCACAAGTTGCCAGACTAGCCCAGTCCTTCCACGTCGGTCGACCAAGTGGCGCCAGCGTCCAGGATGGGCCCGGAGGGAAGAGGCTGAAGAAGGATAAGGTAGCAAAGGGGACGGAGCAGCAGGGTCAGCAGGACACGCCAGCACAGAGTGAAGCGGTTAGGATATCAGAGTTCAAAAAGATGCGCCTCCAGGCGCTGGAGGAAGTGCGTGAAAAGGGCGTGATTAAGGAGACGCATCCGCGACTGGTCCATCGCAAGAAGCCCATGTCGGTCCCGGCCTTTAGGAAGGTTTGGGAGAAGAAGGAATTGAGTGACCCTGGCAACGCCGAGGTCGTCACCCTGTATGGTACGCAGAATGAAATACAAGTCGTCGTCCCACAAGAGCAGCAGCAGTCGCCGCAGCAGCTTGTGGCCGGCGGCGTCCCTAACCACCATCGGCCCTTCGCTGACAGGCCACAGGCCGCGTCCAATCCGTTCGTCTCCACGGGAACAAGCTCGTCTTCGTCACTATTGTCAATGAGTTCGAGAAGATCCAGGGCATGATCAATTATCGTAATCTCGGCGCCCACTCGCCTGACATGAACATTGATACCTTTAAGCTTTTTGCCCGGCTGATCGAGAAGGGCGACCACATCTGTAAGCCCATCATCTACTGCTGCTGCTGCTGGCTGCCCTCTTTGAATTAGGTGACATGATGCTAAGACTACAACCCCCTCAGCCATCACCGGCCGGCCCACGCGCACAAGCACCGGCGAGCTCACGCTTCAAGCCGTTGTGCTTCCGGAGCTGCTGTCCCCCGCGATGGAGCAGATCCCCCAGACCCTGACGGACCCAGCGACCAAGGCCGCGAAGCGTCATGTCGACATGATGGTCAACCCCGAAGTCGCCGACGTCTTGCGCATGCGCTCCCACATCACAAAGTACATGCGCGATTACTTCCACGACAAGTCCTTCCTCGAGTTCCAGACGCCCATCCTCGCCGAGAACGCTGGCGGCGCCGTCGCCCGCTCCTTCACCACCCAGGCCACAGAGTTCCCTTCCAAGGAGCTTTCCCTGCGCATCGCCCCGGAGCTCTGGCTCAAACGCCTCGTCGTCGGCGGCGTCCACAAGGTCTTTGAGATCGGCCCGGCCTTCCGCAACGAAGGCATCGACGGCACGCACAACCCAGAGTTCACAATGTGCGAGTTCTACAGCGCCTACACCAACCTCCCCGAGCTCATCGACCGCACCGAGGAGCTTCTCTCCGGCCTGGCCACACATTGCCAGGAGCTCATCGATACTCAACTTACCTCCCTCCAGCCCGTCGACCTCTCCAAGTTCGCCCGCCCCTTCCGCCAGCTCGAGTTCATCCCGGCCCTCGAGGAGGCCCTCGGCTTCCGCTTCCCAAAACTGACCGGTAAAGACGCCTACTCGGAGCTCGTCGCCGTGCTGGCCCTCAGCAAGATCGAGGTGCCCGGCGGCGTCCCGCCCACCATGCCCAAGCTCCTCGACCGCCTAGCGGCCATCTACCTCGAGCCCAAATCCTTCGAGGGCCCCCTCTTCATCACGCACCACCCGACCTGCATGTCCCCGCTCGCAAAGAGCTTCGTCTGCCCCAAGACGCTGCAGCTCGTGTCGGCGCGGACGGAGCTCTTCGTCAACGGCCGCGAGCTGGCCAATATGTACGAGGAGGAGAACGACCCGGCCGCGCAGGCGCGCAAGCTCGCCGAGCACCGCTTCTTCGGCACCGGCAAGGACGCCGCGCCGCTCGAGGCGGACGACCCGCACCCGCTCAGGGACGCGCCGCTCGACAAGAGCTACATCCGGGCGCTCGAGGCCGGGTTGCCGCCGACGGGTGGCTGGGGGTGTGGTGTGGAGAGGCTTGTCATGCTGTTCTCTGGCGCCAGCCGGATCAGCGATTGTTTGAGTTTTGGCACGTTGAGGAACGTGGTTGGGTTGTCGACTGAGGGGCCCCAGAATCAGTCTGAGGCGGGTTCTTCTTCCCAGGCTGAGGAGTCTACATCTAACCAGTCGGGGGAGTCTTCTTCCTGAGTGGTGTTCCCCATCTCATCTTAAACCCCCTTATTTTCCCCAGCCAAAGCCGTTGTTTGCATTGGCCTTGTAATGTGTGATGGAGTTGGGACGCATGGGCAGCGTGTAATCATTTTGTACAACATTAGAGACTCAGATGTATCACATTGTAGAACAAGATCTGCTGCGGCATCATACAGAGAACCGAGTGCTTCATTCACGTGAGAGGCCACAGAGCATGCCACAGAGACGCCAGGGTGAGAATGGCTATTGCTTCTATGGACTGTGTAAGCTAGCCCTGCCTATTCCTTGAGAATCTTATTATGGGATCTGGCTGCAATGCCGAATGAGGGAAATCTGAAAGAGCAAAACCAATCGAGCCAAATGAGAAGAACCAAGCCAGCCAATTATCATACAATTATCCCTTTCTCTCATTTGCCATAATCGTGCGTATGGAGAGGGTCGTCTGTTCTTTTACCTCTACCCTGGAGGTGTATGGGCCTGACTTTGCGACAGACAGCGGCCATCGCCGTCTGATGCAGTATCGTGAAGCAATGCGAAACCGCCGGCTTCTTCTCTGTTCATCTTGTTGTGTTTTCAATGGGCAGCGCTCAATGCCGTCTAATGGTGTATGACGAGGAAACGTAAAAGCTTGTTTCTTTCCAATCCATCTTGCACAGTGCAGTATCTTCCACTTTCCAAATCCAATATCGTCTCGTCATGTTCCGGAGTGGGAGGAGAGGTCGAAGGGTTTCGGATAGAAGAGGTTTGTCGGAACGTCATCTGTTGCTCTTGATGGGCTGAGACTGATCGTGCCAGATCTGCCAATAATGTGATATCTGATAGTAATGCTGTTGATGTATGCATCCAAGGGCTACCTCGACTCTATGGGTGCCTCAAGGATTGTCGTGTCGAGCTCTCGAGGGCTCTCTCTCACCAAAAGCCGGCTGGCTTGGGAGGTTCGTGGCCAGCTGCCATTGCCGCCGCCTGCTGCTCGGCCAAGCCGGCATCCCTATAGTAGTTCTTCCACATGACGTATTCCCAGGACTGCTTGCGAAGCATGCCCTGGTTGGCGACTCTCATCTCCGTATACGGAGTCTGTTTGGTCATGGTTGGGTGATCATTGAAGATCCCAGCCTTCCACCAGCCCGCCTCCTGGGCATCGTACATCGCAGCCTGTCCCGCAGCATTGAGAATATCAAAGTTCCTGCGTTCGTCGATAAGGACTTGAACCTTGGGCAGGCTTCGGTACTGAAGAACGGCCTCTTCACGATGAGTTCCATTGATCGTCTCTCCTTTGATGAAGGGATTGCGTCGAGGAGGGGCCGATACGCTCTGCATCTCATCGTCACTGGGATCTGTCTTGTCCTTAGTATCGTTGGGCGAGTAGAGAAATCGGTTGAGCATTGTTCTCTTATCATGAAGGCCATGGTGGCTCTCTCCATTGAGCTCAACCCGAAGGTCGCAGATGCGGCAGACACGATGATCGGCTGCGCGAGACTTCATCTCCTCACGGAAGAGAATCGCGAGCATCTCGCAACCACATTGGCAGCATTCGTACTGCTCGTTGTAATAAGATACTCGCTTATGCTTCAGCATCGTCTTGCACTCCTTCGTTCCCTGGAGCATACTGAGGAGAACTTGATCCTCGAGCATGAGAAGGCCAGGGTTGCGGAACTGACCCTCGGGATTCTGCGTCTCGGTGAGCCAGTCATAGGCGCCAGGAGTCTCCGCGGCGTCGAGCCACTTTAACACGTGGTGAAGGAATACCGCTACTTGACCGGGCCTCATCGGCACGAGATCGAGGAACTGGCGGAAAGGCTGTCCTTTGGACACGAGGTCAATGCCCATGGGAACGGCCCTCAGAATGGCCCAGAAGACTGTGATGAGGAGGCCTGTCTCGACGTTGGTCTTCAATGGGTTCCATGAGAGAACGTGGGTGCCAGTGCGGTTGTGGGCCGGCTCGGTGTAAGAACGAGGGTAGAACTGAAGCTTCCTCAGCTTCTTACCAGTCTTCTTGGCGCGTCGGAAGGCGATGTCGAGGATCGGATTGATGTCCGCGACATGAAGAAGCTCGCACTTATCGATTCCCAGAATCTCGAGCGCAGGGCAAGCCGAAAGGATCAGCTCAAGAATGCGGAGGTCCATCATGGGGACTTCATGCAGCTGCAGAGAGGTGAGTGCTCCTCCATACTGGGACAGAGACCGTACTATTGTTTTGTTAGCTATGTGTATACCATGGCAATTCTTCGGAGGACTTACGCATGGGAATGTTGTAGCTCATCTCAGCTAAGTAGATGTTGCCGCGCTTGTCCGCATCCTCGGCGATAGGAGCCAAGCCCATCTTCTCATGACCACGCCTCCAAACAGTTTCAATTGCAGTGAGCTTTTTCTCATCGCGGTGAAAGCGAGCAAAGTCCTCGATGAGGCTGGAATTGTCCTCACACAGTGTTTCCGAAATAGCTCGCAAGTGATCGCGGTTCTGGGGGCTAGACCAAAAGGCGGGAGCATCCTTGATGTGATACTTAGCATACGGGTTAGTATTGAGGGCTCTGCCGCGAACGAAGAGATTACGGCCGATGCCACGGATGTTAATGTTGGCGCGCCAGTCATCATCCATGCGAGCCAATTGTTCCGGAAGCCAGTCGCAGTCCCGATACTCGCCCGCAGGGAGGTCGAATTTGGACTATGACAGTGTTAGCTTCAGTTTAGCATAAACTTTTGGAATGGTGACTTACCACATGAATCGCAACGGCTTCGTAGCAGCCCATCGAAGCTGATGCCAACTTACCAACGGCTACAGTGTCGATGAGCCACAAGTGGGCGATGATCTCGTGCCCAACAGGCACCACCTTCAACAGCGTTTCCAGAGTAACGTTGGTCTGGTTCGCGTTGAGGTTCTTGACCTTGCTGGAATCTGCTCTGGAATTCGAGTTGCCAGAGTCACCCTGACGGACCCCAGCAGTCACGAATTTCTGTCGAAGATTGTCCCAGAATGCAAGGTTTGGGGGTGAATCAGCAGGCAAGTCAGGCAAAGAACCATTGGGACCGACCAGGAGCTTTGTGACGAGCTTGAGTTGGTGCGTTGTTTGCTCCTCCAAAGTCCGGCCGACGACTTCATGAAGCTTGCCGTCGGCGGGGACGGTGAGCTCCATCTTGTAGGTACGAGGAAGCCGGCGAAGGGTCATCTTGTCGTGCTTAGTACCGGTTTTTGGCTACCGAAGGAAGGATATACTTGAGTAGTAGTGTATGCCTTTGTTGGCTCTAATGATCGTAAAAGGCGAGAGCAGAGGAATGATAGTACTGAAGGGCAAGAAAGCCAATGACCAATAACTTAGGGGTTGTAGGGAGGAGTGGCAATTGGGACAATGCTAGTGAAGCAAAGTCCAAGTTGCTTTTGTCTTCGACTGTGTGTCGGGCAGAAGAAGAAAGAGGTTGGGGGGTGAAGTAGTCGAGAAGGGAGTGGTACTAGGTGTTCTTATAGAAGAAAATTGAGGACTGAAAGGTTGTGTAAGGTTGAGGGTGATAGCTTGTGACCAAAAGGTGAAATTGACCCAAGTGGAAGTGGCCCAGAAAGGAACTGCAAGGTGAAAATACCAAGACCAAAGACTGCACAGCCCAGGAAAGGAAACTCGAGTGGGCTCCTTCCTTTCCCAAATATGACCCCTTTCAGGCTTACTGTGTTGATTTTCAGTCGTACGGTCAGGTGATCGGGGAGAAGTTGTGGGAGTTGCTGGGGAGATGGGACAGTAGATCGTTCACCTTGAGGATGGCAGATGGTACGTAAATTGCAGGCAGGTGGCAGAGGTTATGGCTTCCCGAAGTACAAAGAGGCCATCTAGATGAGCCTAGAGCGGGATATGAGTCGCAAAGACCAATGTTGTCATTTATGAGCTCTATTGGTCTGCCATTTTGGATCAACTGTGTTCCTCAAGCTCGTTATCGGATTGGAGAGCTGAGAACAACATCACTTGCCCTATAGGAAGGAGCTGAGGCGTCATATGGAGGAAGGACGAGGCTATGGGTACAACAGTTAGATATGCCATAGATCTGGCTCTGCTGTCCTGGTCAGAATTATTGCTCTCGACGGTGACAGCCATGATGGTATATGATACGGTAGATGACTTGAGATCTGCTTGTGCGATGGTTCAGTTTGTGTCTGGTCTAGGAGACAGGATAGCAATAGTCTGAGAAGGGACCACCCATCCCCCTTTCCCGGTCAGCCAGCTGTGAACCCACGCTAGCTTTCATGGCTCTGTAACCTGGGGGCTTGACATCCACGGTTTTTGTGCCTGTAAGCTTTACGAATCCCATAGGCCTCAAGAGAGCAGGCCTCTCTTCCATCTATAATCAGAAGACACCATGCATGTACCTCTCGAGCTTGTTTGTCACGAGAGAAAGGTCACTCAGCCACCCGGCTTCGCTTGGAGACCAGCTTCAGCCACAACGTTTGAGATAGCGAAGTCTGATACACATTGCCTCATCATGCCCAGAGCCTAGGTATCTTGCTTACTCCTTTTCATCTTTGCAGCTATCCCGGAGTGAGTACGGCGGCTGTGCTTCGTAACAACGGATGCCTCGAGAGATACTCGACCAAACAGTTTGAGGCTCTATCGCGATGTACAACGAGCCTGCGAACACGCAAGTAACTGGCGACTTGACGAGGATAGCGTTCCAGCGAAACAACGTAGTCTACGACGGAAGACCGTAGTCTCATCCGAGCCTTATGATACCATTCAACAACTCCCCTCCCCAGAACAGGCGATGGCCTCATTCGAGCACACGCCTCCGAAGGACCAGGACTTCCAGCCCTACACAAGGCTGCGATTAAGGAACACCATCACATATCAGCTGTGTCTCATCTGCTTGGTACCCAAGGCCTTCACCCAAGCCGGCTGCTCGAATCACTCGCGCGTGTTTCCTCAGTTTGCGACCTTGGGAAATCGACTGGCAGTAAGAATGACCTTGGACACCGACGCCGTGAACAATAGCTGCTAGAAGAACGACCGAAAATCAAAGTAGGCACTGACTTCCACATACTAAGAGGTCTGAGGCCGGTACTCTTTGTGAGATGATCTCACCATTATACGCCAAGTAGCATATCAAGCTGGATATCGGGCTGAGGCCGACAAGATCAACGACTGCTATCCCACTGGCTGGATATCTTCAGGTGTCTCTTTGTGTCCCTGTCCATTTGAATGGGAACTCAAACTGGATAGATGCATAGAGAAGAGCTTCCTAGTGGTTGCCAATGGTATGATCAACTCCTCGAGTATAGCCATAATACCATATGTGCAGAGAGGCATAAGAGGACACATGCCTACAACGTCTGACACCCAAGATCCCCATCGTTGTCAATCTGCAGACAGGTTGTAGTTCATTACTCCATCACGAAGGAAGGGCCAGATTGTATCAAGAGGCACGCTGAGGAACTCTGACTGACTTTACGCAGGCACAAGGTTGTCGTTCTCATGGGCATGCAGGAGGATTGACAGTGAGCTGGATCAGATGTCGTTGACTACGATCACGTGCCCGGCCTCTTTGACCAAACGGGATATTGGTGAGCAATAAGCATTATCAAGTCTCAACTCGAGACTCAAGTTTGAGAAGAGACGCAACAACAAACACAATTTTCAGCCGGGTCGAGACCCCGGGCCTTCCTAGGTACTTTGAAAAGCGTCGTGAGGCTTGAAGCATGGGAGAGCTGCAAGGAAATCCGCAGAACTTCCCTTGAAAGTCAAACTCGGCCGACATAAAGCCTACAGCATGCAAACATAAAACCTCCCAGGACGAGGGCCCTCAAAAGCCACAAAGTATCTTACTTGGCAAGTCTGCCTCGAAAAAGTGGCTTGACACTTCACACTTCCTCCATATGCGGTGTGATAAGAGCTGCATCCCTTATTGGAAGTACCGCATGAACCAACGAGCCAGTACATCTCATAGATGACGCCAAAAATGGCCACTAGGCCGGATGGCACGGTTGGATGGATGGCGTCTAAGGGATTCGCGGCACCGGCGGTGACAACGGCAAACGAGACATCGACTGGAGGGGAAAAAAAAATGTGGTACGGCTGACGTCGAGAAAGTCGAGCAATGCGACCTGCGCAACCCCCCTCCGATTTGCTTGATGGCAGGCCACTTGACTCGTCGTGGTGCGAGACATTGGCAATGGTACGCGGGGATCTAGAACGTGGTGAGGGGAGACAAGCCGAGAAGCCAAATGCATCATGTGCATACCAACGGCGGGGCTTGCATGAACGTTTTATTTTGTGTGCCGGGCCTTGCCAGCCCATGGTGTGAAGACAATGAGGGATCAACACATAATGGTGGTGTGCGAGCCACACGACCCCGAGGCGGAGCTGTATCGGAGACCGTCACCGCAAATTCGTTCTGGGCGAGGAGGCCGAGAATCAAGCTCGAAGCGGCCAACGGTAAACTCAGTCGGTCAGCGGGACAAACTCAGAAATGCGGAAAGTCTGGGCATCGATACTCCCTTTTTACCGCCTCATTTATCGCTGACATGGTAAACATTCGGATCTCGCAAACATCGGATTATTACCCTTTATTCGATGTTGCTGCGCTCAACTGTGACCGGAACTCTGACTGACGGCAAGCCATCTCAGGTTGGGGAAACGAAGAGATTCGGGCATAGCTGCTTTGCTTGACCTGGGTTACCTTGCCAGCAAAAGGAGCGGACTCATCTCAAATGCCTCCTCTGGTTAAACTTGGCGGCCTCATCGCTTTACTACGGTGAAATGCCTGCTCTTCTTCGTGTGTCTCAATCTAGCCCCCACCTGCATCAAACGAGAGACGGGTTTGTTTCACCTACGGGCTTCGTGGATCAGCAAGCACCAGCTGAGCTACTGATGGGTGACCGATAATGCGCTTGAGTGGCCGGGTTAGTTGCGTTTAAACTGGTGTGCTCAGTAACACCGCGCACACCCACAGCTCCAGTACTGGCCCATCTGATCGAGCTCCGACGAACTGTGCAATCGTGGCGACTGGATGCGTGGGCTGAGACGAGAGGGGAGTTGATATACTCCGGCCGGTCCCGTTTGCGAGGCCCCGTGGGTCCGCAGTCCGGGACAGCGCTGTCAAAGCTGTATCTAATACTCGGGTGATCAACGTCACACGAGTTGAACCGCGGGGATGTATATGGTTATCGAGATTCTTTGTCCCAAACGGGCGAAATGCAAGATCAATGAAGGCGAAGCAAGCAAGCCGGGCGAGCCGGCGAAGTGTGTCCAAATCATTGGCGTACTCTGCTACATCGTTATACCGACCGGTGAGATTATTGTAGATTCAGGTAATGCGAACCGTGGGAGCCGTGTCGCGGTGGTTGCAGTTTTCCGTGCAGTGTCAATGTTTCACTCCACAAAGCCGTTATGAACTAGACACCCCCAGGCCGTCTGTCTCAGATGGGAGACGACGGCATGGGCGGCTCATCGAACCAGCGGGATAGGTATGTCATCTAGGTACAAGATATCATGTGCGTGTGCTCGTGAGGATGCCTAGTTCTAGTCAGCATGTCCGTATGGCCATAGCCTTCTTTGTACATTTGACGAACTGATAGACACAACGGATTGTATCGTGCTACCTGGCTGCAGCAGTAACGACAGGTTGCAAGATAGCAGATGACGTAAAATGGACGGACCGAGGATGGCATATCGAACGGTCAATGGATCTCCACTGCTTGGAAAGGAAATAAAGTACGATCATGCGCATACGCAAAACAGGCCGGGGTGGGGGGGTGATCTATCGGTTGCCGTTGGCAGGTCTCTCAGCCACTGCCAACGCAGCCCCGAGTATGGTACATGACAAGAAGACCAAGAATAGGAATGCTGTGACAATGTTGGGTGGCGCTGGACAGATTTGCCTTGGACGGGTTCGAGGCATGTAGGCGACTACTATGGTGGTGATACTCCAACATTCGGTCAGTACGGAGTTGGTATCGATTACCTATCTAGGTAGCGAAGGTTGCAAAGCAAGGTACCTACTTATCTCTAAGAGCCTTGCCTGAGGTAAGTAGGTACGTTGGAACCAGGGAAAACCTGCCCTGATCCGTCAGCGTGAACTTGGAAGGCGCCATCTACCTTACCTGAGGTGCTTGGTGCTTGCCTTGGCCTGAAGTTACAACATGGAACTGGCAGGAACGAGGGTGGGATGATGTACCTGCTTGCTGACTTCCCGTTCTATTCGATATTCTATGTACCTTACCTACATCACCTACCTAAGGTATGTTCTTTCTTTCCAAGACTTCTTCTGTCTTACGTAACGTTCTTGCCAGCGAAGATGGATGTCAGTCACGATCCTGATTCTTGGCCGAGAACCGACCAGATACAACAACATAATTGACAACTCAAAAGACCCAACCAGATCTGCCGTCTCGGGCCATCAGCACAAAGGCACAGATACATCAAATACATTCCCAAACTACCGACCCGGAGCAATCTGATTCGGCTGCACCCACCCGCGAGATTCCTGGTGCTAGGATTCACGCCAGGCAATCCGATACGATACCAGCCATCATTGACACCATTCCCAGCCAGGCCACCAGAACCTTCCACCTTCCGTGCCCCTCCGCCTCCGGTCATGTGTATCTGAGACTGCAACCACGGCCCCGTTTTAAACCAGGGCGTTCGGCTGCTCGATGCTGCATTTCGTCGAGACAGATTAGGGAGATGGCGAGGTGACCTGCGCTCTGCAGCGAGATTGGGTAGATGACGATTTCGCCATCTAGGTACTTTAGCCAAACAGGGCTGTATTAGTCTACCCGTACGAAGTACCTACGTGGTCTGATGAACGCATTCGCTGTCTGCCGAAGATTCCAACTGCCAACTCTATTTTACCTCAGTCAAGACAACGCCTAGGAATGGTAATTTGAAGTGTTATGGGATCCGCGTGAACCTTGCTCGCTATCCTCATCATCGCCCAAAAACCCACTTAGGCGACAAGAAGCGATACCATCGCGGATCTTGAATTCGAGGGGCAACGAACGCCCGGCTCCGAGTCTCCGTCCCACAGCAATGAGCTGTTCTCCGGCTGCCGGGCCTCTCCCTGGAGCCACCGCCAGCATGACTGGTCGCAATGTGGGTCCACATGAAAATCCGCTGCAAATGCGACTTCCCAACCTAGGAAGTAAAATCAAAGCAGAGATAGACCAGGGATCAGCTAACAGGGTTGTGAAGGACAGTTCTGAGTGAGGTACGCGCAGCCTGCATTTGACAGGGCTTGGTGGTGGCATCTGACGGCATAAGTCGACATTCATTCGGCTTTCACTTCATGGGCATCCTGGATATCGAATCGCATTCCACGGGTGGCCCCTTAATCCCAAGCCAACCCATCCCATGGAATTCCAAACCGATCAAAAGAGCGGTCGGCCACCTCGAGCAGACGAATTCGGTTGACCTCCCGATGGCCTTCCAACGACATCAGGCATGTCGATCAGCTAGATGTTAGGACAAGATCGCGCCGTTCAGGGGCACCGCATAGTGGCCAAGCATGACTCTCCGAATATTAGCCTTTCTGATTTCGGTCTCGTTGTCCGTGACGGACTGTCCGCTGTCGCCCGTCAACCAGCTCGGAACGTCTGTCATGGCTTGCTCAATGTCAGGTACAGATATTGGGGCGCAATCATTCATCACCTAATTTGCAAGCTAGGTACGCTTCAGGCGAGAATGGCCAAGTGGTTAAATGGGATCGCGATGGTAGCGCCGCGCTGGAACCCCACGGAGCCAATAGTGGCCGACTCGGACGGCCCAAGGCTCTTTGTTGAAATGAAGGCCGTGTCCGTCAGCAATTTTTAGCTCGGCAGTGGCCGTAATTTGCCGTCCCTGCGCATCTGCATCTGGTCCCCGTCACGGATGGTCACTCAAGCAGCAAGCAATGTCCAGACGATGGCGGGTACTTTGTGCGAATACAAACCTCGCTTCGTTGGGGACATGCTGTGCTGCGTTCGAGGGGTCTGGTCTGGGAATCCGGCGGGCTAGAGTCAGCCGCAAGTCCTCTTGGCAGGTCTAGAGTCTTGATGGACACGCGCCCAAACGGAGCTGTTGATGGAGTGTCGTTTGGCGTTTGGCGTCTGGACTCTGGATTCTGAACTTCCGAAAGACTCGATTGGGGAAGCCGTCGGGTCAGCAATGTGTGCCTATTTCCAGGCCAACAGTCAGGACCGGACGGTGGAGGGGATTTAATGTATCCTGTTCTTACGCTGTGGTCCTGAGAATCTCGAGAGGAAAGAAAAATTCCCGTAGGTGGCCTCTGATCATGAGAGGCAAGGGGAACGGCCCCCTACATCCCCGTCAGTCCCTGTCTGTTGACCAAGACTGGGCCTGGCGGCAGCTAGGATTGTTTGGATCAAATATGCGGAATGGGTCCAAGTCAAGGGCCTGTGGATCTCCGATTGATTGGCAGTTGCACAGTGTCGGGCGGCTGTTGTTTCTGATTGTCATGAGAATGGTCTCTTGTCGTCTCCTACAGTGGATCCATCGTGCCGGCCTCAGTCGAGTCTTCTTTGAACGACTTCTCCTTTTCAGGTCTGCTACCGTTACGACGACAGTAACGCGGCGCGCCCCCCAGAAAGGAAAATCCTGTATCCGTACGGTTACCGAGTGGCGCCACGCCTTGAGAGTCAAGATACAATATCCATGGACACAAGTCAACTACGAGATACAGATTGGCGCAACCAACGAGTGAACACCAAGACCGCGCTACGGGAGGGAGGCAGAGTCCGAAACATTTGGCTGCTTGCCCTGCATTGTCATGTCCATGAAGCACAAGAAGCACGCCTAGGATAAAAGGAGACAACCTAACGGTGACTGGCAGGACTGGCAGGTTACAGTACGCCTATCCACGGACACAGATGGAAATACATGGCGCCGCCTCTGCACAGTCTCGCAGGGCGCAGGCGCAAAGGCCCTCAGGCTGGCCGCCGCATATCATTGCCCGGCCTCACTTGGCTCACAACTTGACGAATGCTGGGCGAACTCTGAATGAGAGCGCGCCATCGAGTCCATGGAAGACGCGACACACTCACACGCAGTACCTCTCACACCCACACCGTTATGCCCCTCCATCAGCGCAGTCAGTTGTCGTGCGACGAGTCCAATGAAGCCTTGGGATAAGGTGCGCAGACTGATCGACACTCCCGCTCTGGATAAATCTTGCTAAGACGGTATCTTGCCTGAGTCACATGGTTTTAAAGAGGATGCAGCTAGCAGGACTAGCGGCACATCTGGACGAGGAAGCGTGAGGTAGCGTACTGGCCCCCCATTTTCTCCATCGTGGCCCTATGGCGTGGTCGTCGTTTTAATAGGGGACCACCTTGACTCCTATTCTTTCCTCTTCCTGTCCCCTCTCAGGCTTCTCCCCTTGCCTGCAAGCCCACACACTCGTTGGCCATGTGGATCTTTGGCCCCAAGAGTTTTCTGCTTTAACGAGGGACCGGCCATGTCTCGCTCCCCTTCGAAAAAATGACCTAACAGGACAAAGGCGCGTGTCGCAAAATAGTGAGGAATTTAGCGTAGACCCTCTCTCCGAAGTTCGAGTCCCGTTTTGCAGCCGTAGTAGGCGAGCGTGGTGGTCCCTCAAAATTGCCAAGTTCCAACGACACACGCAAATCATTCGGGGGTTTCTAGCGATGTGCTATGGAAGGGACTAGTGGACGAGGTTAAAGGAACGGCACTGGGCTGGGCTGAGGGCGCGGAAACGGTGGGAATGAACAGTACAGTTTGAGAAGACGGGAGATTCCCTTCAGAACGGAGGGCGGAATATGAAAGGCGACGGTATGGAAGGTAACCGCTACAGGTTGCCCAGCCATGCCGGCACTTGGCCGCTCGTTCCAACGTTTCCCATGTGTTCGTGTAGGGCAGAGGGAGCCGGCCCATACGGCGAACGAGAACACATCTGGAAGACGGATTACGGAGCGTGAGAACGATCGATCGGATTTATGTGCCTACGGCGAGTATTTGTGCCTTTTAGGTACTGTACCAGGCGAGTATCGGGGAGCCAACCAACCAGTCCTGAAGCTCTCGTCTGGTTCTCATTGCTACCCATCCATTCATTCTCTGAGGTGGTCGTGGGAGGTGCGTTGTGGTTGCAGGGTGGGCACACCTCTACTTTTGGTGGTGTCGCGATTTGCCCTGCAAAAAGCTTGCCTATGCAATGCACGAGAATGGAGCGCATTCAACGACATCACCCTCGAAAGGGTGGGCGGCCGCAATATGACGTCCGTCATGGGCTTGCTGCAGGACATCACGCGAGTTTTCTGGCTGGATGAGAAGACATTTTGAAGTGAATCTGTTTTAGAATCGATATGCCACATACGCGTAGGGACTGCTTTTCTTTCTTCCTACTTTCCTAAGAAGCCTCTCGTTTCTATTTTTCACCCCATTTTTGTTGTTTTGTTTCTAAGCAGTGTGTGTGGGAAGTGGTGAGGAACCATGGAAGTTTGGTACTGCGAGCCTGTGGCGCGAGAGCATCGTATCCTTTTCATTCGTTCATGCCAGCCTTCAACATCCCCTCATCCACTTTTCGATCGTCACGACCTCAAGGTCTGGCCATCGAATGTAACGGTACCCAATACTCCTTGGATACTTGCAATACTTTTAGCACTCTCAGAGAGGGATACGGACGGTGAACCAGAAACGGTCCAGGGAGAAAGTAGCGGTATCAGGAGAAGAGGCCTGGACTGAAGATTACAGTGCGACATGAGTCACCAAGAAGGGAACTTTATTACACACACATCCCGCCGGTGACAGGAGGCCGAGCAAAGCCTCCCAAAGTCAGGCAGTCAGCGCCAGCTGGTTCAACTAATAATATTCCTAGTAGCGAAACTGCGACGTCTGCTTTGCGAGTCTGCGAACGTGTCTGGCCGCCGTCGCGGGCACCCCTTTTTTCTTCGTTTCCGTTTCTAATCCATACCTTATCTGGCTGGATGGAGACAGTCTGTTGGATTCTGTAAAAGGGACCCGGCCGGGTGCTAGGTTCCAGGCCCGGGTTCAGCGCGTATCGAAATCACCCAGCCATCTCGTTATGGTCCACTGTGAATTTTGATAATTTGTTGGTCGCGTACGACAGAACGAGAAAAGGTCTAGAAAGAAAAAAACGACTAAAACGGTTGCTGGGCCGTCGGGGTGCGGCGGCGTAAAGAAGGGAGCGGGAGTCTGCGGCGGCTACGATGTTTCTGCACCGGTTGGTTTGGTTCTCTTGTTCTCGTTGTTCCCATTCTTTCCAACAAAAGATACAACGGAGCCTGTGGTTGAAGGTACGGATACCTTATCCTATACGGATAATAGCGTCGTCGCATCGGAGGGGCAACCGGCGAACGACTTTTCTCTCCTTCTCTCTACATACTACCTGTCTGGGCGCGTTGCTGCGTAGCTGCTGCGTATTAGAGAGAAGAAGCAACGAAAAAAAAGATTCATTCAGAAAAAAAAGATTAACAAATGAATTAGGACAGCCACTAACGTCTGGGAATGGCGGCGGGAGTGGGTCATCCATGGCATGTTCCCGGCAAAGCAGCAGGGTCCAGGCAGGGAATGGCGAGGCATGGGCATGGATGTTCATGTACCTCTGTACCACACCCCTGACGCTGTCCAAAGTGTGGAAAGGCTCGTCCTTGTACCCCCCTGTCCGTCTTTTGCATCTTGCTCGTCCTGCACTCTCTTTTCTTTCTGTGCCCCCATGTAATAAGTATCTTGTATACCGCAGTACGTATCTAGGCGCGGCGACTGGGTCACGTACTGCTACATGTGAGTCTCTGGCTACTTTGGCTCTCTACACTACCAATACGGTTCTCTCACTCTTCCAGTCTCTCTCTCTCGCCTTGCACACACGATACGACACGAAGCAGCAGAAGAAGAACGCAACACGCAGTTCGATCCCAAGCACATGCAGCTAAAGGTAGGGCAGGGTACCTGAGGTATTCCGTACGGGTCTGGCAATTTCGTCCCACTCGCTTGCGCGCAGCACGGGCCAGCACGCGACGTTCAGTTCGTTCTCCTCTGACTCTCTGGCAACGCAACTGAGAGCGGGAAACACGCCAAAAAATCATAGCGACAGGGGAAGAGTTACTAAATGCCATGCCCCACCTCCCATTTTAAGGTACAAGTACGTGTACCTCATCGTAAGCATTGAGGCACTCGCTCGTGCTGCTGAAAGTAGGGGAAACTAAAGTATCTTATCTTCTTGCTAGACCAGGGCATCTCGTACCTCAACTGGAGGCTTGATTGTATCCCATTTCCATTTCCCGAGATGCGCATCGCAACCACCAGTACGGAGTAACACCTCAACATGGAGATCAGGTAAGCCGCGTATAACGAGTCGAGAGAGAGGCAGAGATTGATCCAAGGTACGGAACAGAAGAGATAGAAACAAGCAGACCGGAAAAAGAAAGGTAAGTGATGCCATGCCATACACATTACGCAGTATTTGAATGCTAGGTGCAGCAGCCTCTGGTAGGTGAGCACACCCAGTAAGGTAGGTACATTGGTGACAGGGCCGCGACAGCGAGGGAAAGTACCCCCACTAAAAAGTATCCGTTTGGAACGGCTTCTTTCCCGGACCCCTGTCCTTCATCGCATGCTTGTTGAACCTCACACACACCACACTCGCGACTCACCACTCACACACCTTGAACCTCTCTCGTCCTCCTCACTTTCCTTGCGCCCAAGCTCTCCAGCAGACCAGCAGACCTCCCATCCTCGTCGCACTTGCCTGCGCTCTCTCATCAAGCTCAGACGACCACTCTGACTGGCCCTTTGCGACCCCTTCTCCCTCTCTCGAGTCTCTCCCCCATCACTTTACATACGGTCTGATCGTACAGTACTTCGTACCCGCCATACGGTCTACCTACCTCACAGTCTTACACCGTATCGCATTCCCACCGTTCTCGTCCAAGCCATCTACCGCTCATCAACCTTCCACGCCAGTGCCGCCGTCTACCTAGACTGACACTGACTGACACACTTCCACTCATCGGTCGTTCTCTGTCTGTCTGCCCAGCTACCCACGCCTCCCTCCTTCCTTCATCAAAGTACCTACACGCACACTCCAAGGTACCTCACCTCTATCCTACCCGGGGGTAGCCACTCACGACGGGCCCACGCCTCTTTTTTCCTCCTTCGCAAGGGACTGACTGGACCGTGTGAGCCTCCATCAACCGGGCCTCCTGGCAAGGGCAAAGCCTCTTCTCGTCACCCTCTCGCAAATAAGTACCCCCAGCAACCCGCTCTACCTCCCATTTTCTTCTCTCCCTTTCCCGTCTTTCCTCTGCCACCATTTACAGGTCTTCTTTTTTTCTTGCCATTATTCCCCAGAAGAGGTTCTATTCTTGAACTCTTTTATACCCAAGACCTTACACCACCCCTCGACACGACCAATACAGTACTTTTAGTAGTGCTTTTCTAAAAGACCTTTTCGTTGTGATACCCAAGTCTACCGCCTGACTTTTTGATACCCAATTCCCCTTTCCAACACCACACATCATACACAATGGCCGAAGAACAGAAGCCCGTCGAGGTCCCCAAGGAGACTGTCCCTGCCACCACCACGGCCGAGGCCCCCGCCGCCGAGACGAAGCCCGTCGAGACGGAGACCCCCGCCGCCGCCCCTGTCGCCGCCGAGACTGCCACCGAGACCCCGGCTACCACCACCGCCACCGAGACACCTGCTGAGGCCTCTGCCACTGAGGCTGCTGCCCCCGTTGAGGAGGCCAAGAAGGAGGTTGTCCCCGTCGAGGAGGGCACCCTCGAGCATAAGGGCATTAACTTCCCCAAGTAAGTATAGCGCGCTTCAAGATCATTGTGTCGCATGTGCTAACGGCTATTCCCAGGAACTTCATCTACTCCAAGGAGTTCTTCTGGTTCGGATCCGATGCTGTCGAGTCCAAGAACCTCTCCTCTTACCTGAAGAGCGAGAAGTCTACCGAGACTGCCCACCACAACGCCGCCTGGGCTTCCCACACCGGCAAGGGTCTCCTCTTCTTCGGTGACAAGACCGCTCCCCAGGGTGTCATCAACTTGGTATGTTTCACACTATGACTTACACCAATAATATCATGCTAACGACTATTCTCTAGGCCGATGCCTCTGAGCCTGCTGCCGATGGCGCTAACAAGTTCCATTTCACCGCCAAGGGCCACAAGCACACCTTCAAGGCTGCCAACGCCGAGGACCGCGACAACTGGATCTCCCAGCTGAAGCTCAAGGTCGCCGAGGCCAAGGAGCTCGCTTCCACCGTTACCGAGACTGAGGCCTACAAGACTGCACTGGAGGCTTTCAAGCCCGCCAAGAAGGAGGAGAAGAAGGAGGAGAAGGCTGTCGAGGCCCCCGCTACTGAGGCCGTCACCGCCACCGAGACCCCTGCTGCTGAGACCGCCGCTGTCCCCGCCACTGAGGAGGCCGTTGCTGAGACCCCCAAGGAGGAGGAGGTCAAGAAGGAGGAGCCTAAGCGTCGCTCTGCCAGCCGCAAGCGTGCCTCCATCTTCGGCAGCCTGCTCGGCAAGAAGGAGGAGTCTAAGAAGGAGGAGAAGGAGGAGACTCCTGTTGTCCCCGCTGTCGCCGAGACTCCCAAGGAGGAGACCCCCGCTGTCCCTGCTGCCACCGAGACCCCCGTCGCTGAGGTCCCCGCTGTCGAGGCCCCCGTCACCCCCGCCGCTGAGACTCCTGTCGCCGCTGCCACTGAGACCGCTGCTGAGGACAAGCCCGTCGAGGCCGCCAAGGAGGAGAAGAAGCCCCTTCCAACCAAGCGCAACAGCATCTTCGGTGTCTTCGGCAAGAAGGAGAAGAAGGCTGCCGCCGCTGTTGAGGCTGAGACTCCCGCCCCGGCCAAGGAGACCGAGGTCACTCCCGCTGCTGAGTCCGCCCCCGTCATTCCTCCCGTTGAGGCCACCACTCCCCTCGCTGTCGACGTTGCCAACCCTGGCACCGTTCCCGTCGAGAACAAGGAGGTCACCCCCGCCACCAACGGCGAGCCCCGCCCTGACCTCAAGGAGAAGCGCAAGTCTTCCCTTCCCTTCGGCTTCGGCAAGCGTGACAAGTCCCCTGCCAAGTCCCCTGCCCACTCCGACAACGAGGAGGCTGAGAAGCAGGAGAAGACCAGCGCCTTCTCCAAGCTCCGTGCTACCATCAAGGGCCGTGGCAAGACTGAGAAGCCTGCCGACAAGCTCGAGAAGACTGAGGAGAAGCCCGAGGAGACCCCTGCTGTCGCCACCGAGACTCCTGCTGCCGAGACCTCCAAGGCCACTGAGGAGCCCGAGAACAAGCCCGAGAACGTGGCTTCTTCCACTCCCGCCCCCGTCACCGCCGCCGCATAGAATGCGAGATGGGGTTCGCTGTCTCTTCGTCGCAAGAGCCAGCATCGGTCGTCATGATCAACTGAATGAAGCAAAAAACGTATAACAAAACGCCACAAAAAAAGTGCAATAGCATCGGATCGAGATTCGGAGGAAGAGCAACATCACGTGACAACTCATTTCACTTGGATGGGTTTGTCTGGAATCGGACCTGCATTTCAAGATACCCCGTCAAGACTGGTTCTACCTGATACCCTTTCCTATTTCCCTCTTTACACAGCACACGCATCGGAAGGCGAAAACTGGCGGGAGGTGATTCCGTTCCACTTTCAGTCGTTTCGAAGTCATTTCTGCTCCTTGTTTTCTTGTTTTGATTTTGTTTTCCACAAGTATCCTGCTTTGATGCTTTGATACCCAGTTATACCCGTCGCTCCAGACAAGAACACGAGAAGAAAATACCCACGACAAAAAATTCGAAGCGCCTTGGTCCGACAAGATGGACGGACCTCTTGTGTGTGTTGGTTCATATCGGGCTAGGGTCAGGAATCGTCAGATTTGAGTTTGGAGATGCTGTTGGTGGAAAAAGACTGCATGGAACCGTCTGTGCTGGCCACTAGGGCCGGTGTCAGCTTGTTCGCATTCACTTAATACTTAATAGAAGCTCGTTGCGTGTTGTCTAGAATCGTGTGTGCGTTCCCCCTTGATCTCTTGCGCCATGTGACACTTGTGACATGTGAGTCAATTTCCTGTGGCTCGGTCTTGTTCGCTCTGCCGTGTACACGTAAGTCATGTCAGTCAGGCCCGTCCGCGTCCTCGACGTTTTGACGTATAAGTCTAGTTTCGATAACGGTCAGTCAGTTATTGTGTCTAAGCATGACAGGTCCAAGCTCACTTACTTCAACTCCGTACCCCATCCTTTTTCACCACGCAAGCTCCGTCCGGATCGAGAGACTATCGACTTCGTGTTCCAGAAAGGGTCAGTCAACAAGCGTGAAACGGATGCAACGCTACACGATTTTATGGCCGACTCGTCGTCCATGTACCCCAGGTTTCTGATTTGCGTCAGATGAAGCTGAAATGGTAAGGCAGATTGTCAGATTGAGATTGAGATTGAATCGAGAGGTGCCTTGCGTTTGTCTGTCGCTTGGCATCACGTGTGGGCTGGGTTACATCCGCTCTTGAAGACCGCAGGAGTCAGGACGCAGACCCAGGCAAGGAAGGCGTGAGATGCGATCGGATGCAAAGGAGGAGCAAGAACTTCATGTCAGTGCGGAAAGTGACGGCAAAGGCGAAGTGTGTGCCTCTCTTCGTCTTCGTCTGGCCTCGTGTTCGAAGCACGAACATAGGTCTCCTCCTTTGAGGGGGAAGCGAACGGATGGACGGACGGATGGATCTCTTTCGCAGTAGCCGCATGTGCCTCAGGTTCGTCTCGCCTCTTCCGTGTGTGCGCGTGTGTTTAGGTGAGGTCTGTATGTCACTTTGGCCGCTCTTCGTATATGCGAAAGGAGGGGTACCGGGGCTGTCGTTTTGGAAGGTGATGTTCATGTGAGGGTGGATGTGTAAGGTCACGGGTGGAGTACGTGTTTGACTGATGCGCACCCAGCGTTGCGACAGGGAAAAGGTGTAAGGCCATCAGTACTTTATGGGCTTGGACGATTTAAGCTTCTTCGGTACAGCGTTCTAGTTCTCAGGATCTTGCAATGTTCCGTGTGAGAGGTCTTGGAGATTTGTACCTGGAGGTGGCTGAGTTGAGGGTCCATGGCGTCGTGCCCATTCATGAGATTGAGGTCCTAGAACTGCTTCCTCTCGTGTATGAGGACAACCCCTTGGAGTCGAGACGAGATATTTTGGGGGAGCGCGGAAGAGCTTTGATATCGGGCTGGCTATTGACGAGCTCGGAGACCTGATAGAGCGGATGAACGGTGCGCCTTGGTTGCCGCTCCATGGTCATCGTGTGTGTCTTGCGAGTTCTCACAGAAGAGAGAAAGCGCTATGATCAAGTTCATCTCGATATTTGTCTTTCCGAGACGGGTTTACGTAACTGTTCTAACTTGAGCCATTTGCTATGACCAGAGCCCAGGAAACCGTTTTTGGGGGTTCTAAAACGGTACGGTATGTACGGTAATGAGCATGGTCCAAAGTAAAGATGTTATCAAAGCTTCCTAAACAAAAGAACGAGTTTTCTTCCCCTGTCTGCCTAGTCTGTCTGTCTCTTGGGATGATGTTGGACAGGCTCAAATGCCTTGAGCAATCAAAGTCAGTCTAAAGAATTCTCTTTCGAAATCTGTGAATGATCTCGTGGATCGTGAGATAATGACTTGCATACTTAGATTAAGAAATGTTACGACGGGCCGGGATGCCGAGGGTTGAAGTTGGATGTAAAGTCGGCGCGAATCTCTGTTATCCACATTGCTAGGGCGGGTCGATATCCGCACATGCAGGTCTAGACTCTATTCAAGACTTGATAGTGGTGGAGAAGGAGCTGTGGGCTTTTTTGCTTTCCCACTTTATCTTGAACCTTTAATCCTGCTTGTGGGTGTGGATAATGCGAGTAAGTGTTTTTCTGTGGTGGAGAAGGTGATGATGTATTCAGAGGAGACAACGGAAGCAGGTCCGATTTTGAGGTGTTTGAGAGATCTTGAGAATGGAAGCATCAAGATCATGGTCGATATTCAGTGTGAGCAAAGTGACAGCAAGTATCCGTAACGTTAGGAAAGGAATAGCAATATTCTGCTCTCGTCATGGGAGCTCGAAAGCGCGCACTCACCTTAGGCCATGCTGTGAGGCCGATAATTAGGTGTAAAGGGGAAACAACGCCGCAGAAATTGCAGCAAATGGCAACAAGGCAGAGGCATGCTGGAACCTTCGATGCTTTAGCGAAGCTAAGCATGGTCAGGAGCGAGGGCTGTCGACCATTCTGGCTCACCACTTTCCCCTCAGCCAACGACAGGAGCGAACAATTTTAGAATTGTATCTAAACACCTAAGAACTTCGCAAGGGATGTTGGGATTTCCTCTAGAACCACCGATGTATTTTCTACGTGTGTTCGGTGAGGAAGGCGCTTATTGCTTCACTCCAGTTTCAACTTCCTTTGGACGTACTTATCCGTCTGTAAGTGAAATCTTGGCCCTCTCCAAGGCTGGAGGAGAGCACCTCAAGTTGATCCTCTGATTATTTGCCTCAGCATGGAAAACGTGTCACGTGTCTGCTGATGCTCATAGCCTACGCATAGGTCTGATCTCCCACAGCTAAGGCAAGTCATTAGTGCTGCATGAGACGGTGCTGATGTAGTCCTGGTCAAGGGCAGCCGGAACTCTCGATCTTGAAGGTATAAGACAATACCAGGTAATGGCGGGCGACTAGAGACTTCCGCCTCGTTCAGCACTGGTCGTAGCCTATCTCTAAGCTTGTACGAATACGTCGAAGGTGGTGAAGAGGCTGGCCGTAGGCTACCTTCACTTGGGCACATGAATACAAAGAGCAACAGGAAATAAGCACCGCAGAAGGACTCATGCACAATGTTGGATAGACCGATCTAGTGAATACTGCAGAAGAAACGACGCCGCAAAGATGATTACTGCTATAGGGACATTTGTGACCGTTTGAGACAACTTAAACACTGAATACTTTGTATTAATCTGGGGGAAAAAATGATGTTCAAGATGAGACGAAATTCCCATAAGTTACGGTTCAACATTAGCCCATGAAGAAAATCTTGGCTAGATAAAATAGAAACCTTCACTTTTGTGAGAAGAACATTGCGAATTCAGATGCTCTGATGCTGTTATAAGGGACTCTTGGCTCAAAGATATACGTAAGGCAATCTTAGACTTGTAGCTCTGAGAAATAAAGCTAAAAGAGGCGATGAATGGACTTTGACGGTACTTGTGTTATGGGGCTCTCGAACGATCAAAAGCAAGTGCGTACATACGAAATTACTGGAAAAGCGGGAAGTCAGATGGTCTATCATATCAAGCGCTTCCTTATGTCCAATCCTTAGTCTTCGCTTCATTTGAAGTTAGATAAATCCTCGGAGGGCGGCATGCATGTTTCTGAAGCACTCGACGCAGTAAAAATGATTGGAAGAGGATAAGTTGAACTCTGCGCTCTCGTCAATTGGATTTGGAGCCCCTGGCTTCGAGGGAGACCCTTGGACAATCGAGAGCGCTCGTAGTCGTCTTCAAATGAGTTCACTGGCCAAGACAGGCAGGATTCTCTTAACAGGCATTTACTTGTTCAAGGAGCTCAACTCGTTGAAGAACCTCAGAACTTGAGTGACTATTGATTTCAATGAAGAGCTGGTGGCTTACAAAAGTGCTTGTTGATACTCAATTTGTCCTCTTACCCCCCTGAACTTGGCTTTACTGCTCGAACCAGAAGCTGATTGGGATTGTATCTCTGTGACTTTCGTAACAAGTAATATCCAGCAACACTCATCTCTATTTGTGAGCCTTGAAGCCGCGATGGAACTTGAATGTCCATAGCTTCCGATCGATCCATGTTCCAGCGAAACAGCAGCAAAGCTAGAGCAGCCTTCATGGTCTTATGTCAAGCTGCATGATCTAGAGCCTACTAAAGACTACCATAGAGACAAGAGGAATCAAGGGAAACAGAAGAGGCTGTTAGATTCAAGAACATAGTCATTCACTCAATCTCATATTTCATTTGATATTGCATCTAAGGGTCTCGGCTCGATCATATGGTGACAAATACCAAATGATAGTTCACTCACTTTATTATGTTGATATATTTCAAAGGAGTAAGGAAAGGTCGAGAGAAGCAACAGGAGCGACCAAGACATCTTAAAACAATAGAATACAGCGCCCTGTAAAGTCACTGCTAAAGTGGTTCCAATGTACTCCTTCACGAACGGCCGACCACAGTCGCTGTTAAAGCAGGCGTCCATGAGGTGAAGTTGACCAACCCGAAAGTCGATGCTTCCGCACAGTTTCTACACTGTGCGGGAACGGTCCGCATCTCCACTTTAAAATTTCCATGCCAGGCGCAACTGTAGGAAAGCCGGCGGACAAAGTTTGGGATCTCTTCCATTTGTAAAACTGCAAAATCAACCATGGATATCCTCAAAGTATTGTCGCGCGGCATAAAACAGCCTGCTAAGGGTGCCAAGAACGCGAACAAAGGAGCGGCCAACCTGCCATCCGCCGGCAACCGAACGAACCCCCAACTTTTCCACGACGAGGTGTCTTCAGCGCGGGGCAATAAGAGGAAGCGAGGCAAAGAAGAGGTCGAAGAGAAGGAAGAGGAACAACTGCCCGAGGTCGATTTCTTCGCGCCCCCCAAGTCCGAAACCCCCAAAGAATCCGAAAATGCCAAACAGCCCGCTGCGAAAGCCAAAAAGGCCGACAAGGCGTCTTCTGTAAAGGCGACTCTGCTCCCCGAGGACGAGTGCCGACAGATCCTTCGCTCCCACCGACTGAAGCTTACGCTCCTCTCCGAGCGCCACAAGAAGGCCTCCAAGGTCACCAAGAGCAAGAAGAAGAAGGTCGCTGTCGAGGTTGAGAAGGAGACGAACCAGCTGCACCCGCAGCCCTTGACCTCTTTCCGCGAGCTTCGGACGAACTACAACATTGCGCCGCTGCTGGCGGACAACCTCACGCATCAGGGATTCAAGGTGCCGACCGAGGTGCAGCTGGGCGCCTTGCCTCTGCTGCTGAAGCCAGAACTGGCACTGAAAGAAGTGCCGAATAATGAGGAGCTTGGAGATGTCTCAAAGGGTGTGGATTTCCTCGCCGTTGCGCCGACAGGCAGTGGAAAGACGATCAGCTTCCTGATCCCCGCGATCAACTCCATCATGCATAAGAGAGAGTCCAGCGAGGACAAGGATAAGCATGATCTGTCTGCGATCATCATTGCGCCGACAAGGGAGCTAGTTTTCCAGATTGTGAACGAGGGACGCAAGCTGGCCTTGAACTCTGGCATCAAGATAGCCGGCATGAAGAAGGGCATGCGTTTCGCAGTTGCGGAAAAAGATAAGGCCGAGAGCGAGGATGAGGACGAGGAAGAGGAAGAGAGCGGGAAGTCAGAAGATGATGAGGATGAGGACGAGGACAGCGAGACCGAGCAGGTCAAGTCAAAGTCTGTCGTAAAGGCTGACATCCTCGTCACAACACCCGCACTATTCTACAACTTCCTTACGGCGTCGTCAAAGAAGGATCGCAAAGTTCCGACTGTCACGTCATTGATTCTTGACGAGGCGGATGTGTTGTTGGACCCCCTATTCCGCGAACAGACCATGGCGATCTGGTCTGCTTGTCCTAACCCGGAGCTGAGAACTACGTTCTGGTCTGCGACTTTCGGGTCAAACATTGAGACTTTGGTGACTGAGGCACAGTTGGCGAGACCAGCATCCAAACCGTTGATTCGTTTGGTAGTCGGTCTGAAGGACACGGCCGTCCCCAACGTTACACACAAGTTGATCTACACCGCAACTGAGAAGGGAAAGCTATTGGGTCTCCGCCAGCTCCTTCATCCCACAGCAGGAGACGACTCGGGGCCACCTCTCCGGCCTCCGTTCCTGGTCTTCACCCAGACCATTGAGCGCGCCACGGCCCTGGAAGAGGAGCTCAAATACGACATCCCCCTCGCCGCCGGCGGTCCCACCAGGATCGCCGCCCTGCACAGCGGCCTCGCCGACAAGGCTCGCGCGAACATCATGCGCCGCTTCCGCGCCGGCGAGATCTGGATCCTCATCACGACGGACGTGCTCGCGCGCGGCGTGGACTTTGCTGGCGTCAACGGCGTCGTAAACTACGACGTGCCCGGCTCGAGCGCCGCGTACGTCCACCGCGCGGGACGAACCGGCCGCGCGGGCCGCGAGGGCGGCGTCGCCGTTACGTTTTACACGACGGACGATATTCCCTTTGTCAAGACGGTCGCCAACGTCATCGCCGCGAGCGAGAGGCAGGCGGGCAAGAAGGGCGAGGAGGCGAACGTGCAAAAGTGGCTGCTCGACGCGCTGCCGAACGTGAGCAAGGAGGACAAGAAGAAGATTCGGGAAAAGGGCGTCGAGGCGAGGCGGAGCCACGGGGCGGCCATGATTTCGTCAAAGAGTAAGTGGGAGAGGCGCAAGGATGCGAATAGGGAGGGGGCTACGGCCGCGAATAAGATTCGGATTAAGAATGCAAGGAGGGTGGGTGATGACGAGGCTGGCGCCGAATGGGGCGGTATCGATGATTGAGGGAGGAGGTTTCCGTCTTCAAGAAGGCGTTGAAAATAAAAGCATTTTTCTTCTTGCATTTGGATAGCGACTGGTTCGTGCTGGTGTGTATTGCCGTTGATGTGGACTGGCAGCTGGATGGCTCTATGTAGGCCCTCTCATCTCAGAATGATCCCAGCCACTTGACGTGGAACAAATTTGAATCGAGGCGTGAGGCCGCGAAAGTGTCGTTTGAAGGCAAGCTAGGAGGTCATCAGTTGAAGACCTTGCGGTCCGTTTTCAGGTGAACGTGAGAAATGCGTCAGGTCGCTCTTTTGCTATCCCGTGAATATACACACACTTCCGAAAAGGGGTTGGTTTGCTTGGGAGAGTACGTGAAGTGAGGAGGAAACAAAAACTTCTCGTCGATTGGACAGAATGAATAAGAATTTGACACAGACTCTTTCTGCTTTTGATGGAATTGACCTGATTAGCCCATAGTCTTGTAATCTCGAAGTCAAGAGATGGGTTTTCCCTCTTACTCTCGAATGTATGACTTCATCAGATGGGTGGTATATTCAACATTAAAATGGAAGATAAATAGACAATGAAATAATAGAGTTGAAAACACGCCGGCGCCTTCTGTAGACTGTAGAGAATGTAGAAGAAGCGATGTTCTTCACATCCACCATCATCCATCATCCTAACATTTAAAAGCTCTCCGTCTTTCCACATAATCTTCTCCTTCCCCCCTCCACCAATGCACCATCCGGCTTTAACCATACTGCTGCCTCAACGGCAACTTCCTATCAAGCGTATGGAAAGCCTGCGTCCTGGGCGTATACGGCACGACCCCGACCCGCGGACTCGCCGGCCCGCCCTTGGCATGCCAATCCCTCATCTCCCACTCCCTCCCCTCCTTCGCATAATCCACCGGCGAGCTGCCGTCGCTGCTGCCCTTGCCATCATCGTCCTCGTCGCCGTCGACTTTATCGCCCGCGTTCGGCCACAGCACGTACAGCGCGATGCCCAAGTTGGCGAGGTAGAGCGCGAGCATGTAGACCGTGACGGCAAAGGTGCCCTTTGCGAGCTGGCAGCTCTTGTAGGCGCTAAAGGGGCGGGCGTAGTCGCACGACTTTGCGATGTACCAGGCGATCGAGGACGGGTAGCGCGGGTCGGCGTGGTCGGGTCCCATTTGGCCGTAGACGGAGACGGTGTAGAGGGCAACCATGGCGACGTTGATGCCGGCGGCGAGGAGGGGGAACCAGAACTTCATGATGAAGGCGACGAGTTTGGTGAGGAGGAGGAAGAGGGTGATTACCGAGATGGCGACGTTGAAGTCTGTGAGTCTGTGATTCCAAAAGTTTTAGTTGTAGTGGTCTTTTGATAGAAGAGGCAACAGAATAATGGCGAGGACTCACGTTCGTGTCCATACAAAGGGGACCTTGGGGTACGGCTCATAGTTCGCGTAGGCGTAGAGAATCATCTTTGGGTTCGAGTTGAAGCCGTAGGCGTGCCCGACCTCCCAGAGCTTGGTCCGGTAGAGGTCCGGCTGCGCGATGCCGAAGAGAACGAGGAGCGGGACGAGGCCGGCCAGCTCCAGCGGCATGAGCGTCCACATCCATTTCCGCAGCAGCCATTTCCTGTGCAAGATCTTGTACGTCATCTTTCCTTCCTCTCCTTCTGCTCTCCTCCGTTTCTTATCGTGTATGCGTGTTTGATGAGAGGTGTGTCAATGCCCGTGTCGCCTGAGGGGGGGTTTGTCCTCTTAATGAAGTCGTTGGGTTGTAACTCTCTCCCCTCTCTGTGCCTCTCTTTGCCAAGACTTTTGGGGGTTTAAAGTGAGTTCCTTGTATTCCTAGGCGCGGTTGTTCGCCAAAGCAAACAATGGGGTTTCACATTGGCCAAGTACCCAGCACTCGAACGCAATGAGAAGAAGCTCGCGATCAGACTTGCGAGATTCGAGCTTTGCTGTCGTCTTCGTCGTTTCGACAAGAGGTCGAATCTTCAATAAGAGTGAAGAGTGAGAAAAGGGGACCAAGAGTAAAGAATGAGCCTCTCAATGGGTCGGATGGGGGCAGGGTGACAGTTTAAGGGCCATATCTCCCTCCCTTCTGCAGGTCAAGCCATTCGCCGCCGCCCATTTGCTCCATTCATTCATCGCCATTCACCTGTCCAAAGAGGGGGCCAGGCGGGCGGGTGGCCGGGTAAGCTCAGGGCAATGGGGATTGAAAGGGCCGCTGAGCTGCATGTGCCGTGGTTGACCGACGGTGCGCCGTCACAACGGGGAGGTCCAATGAGGAGCGGAGGTGATGAGGGATGCTAAGCGCCGAGTTCGAGAGGGGCCGTTCAATTGGTCGGCCCCCGTGCGGATGAGCCAATGGGGGCGGCAAGATGCGACGTTGCGCACAATACCCGCCTCGATGAGAGCAGGGGGGGGGGGCTTCGGGGGCCACTGCTGTTGCAGTATTGAATGCCAATAGGATTGGCCGGTGAATGGGAGGTTGGTTGGCCATGTTGGATTGCACATAATTACTGCAGTACGGACTACGGAGTAGGTGGGTGAGCAAGGTGAGATCAGCTTGTTCGTGCCATGCTGGTGCGATGCAACAGCAGATGCGGCAGGATACCAGCAAGAAAAGTCAGCAAACTTGTCCTTCTTTCTGCAGAAGACACACGACGATGGATGCTTCATATCCCGGAGGTTGAAACCAACAACGTGATTGTGATGATGCTGGAACCGCGCATGGGGTCCATGATGATAAGCGCCCGTTGGGCACATCTTCCCACGATACCCGGATCCGAGAAGCCGGCACCGTACTGGCACATTGAGGAGTGCCTTGATACCCCAGCTCAGGTAAGGATCGACTGACGACCAAATACCTTAGGATGCAATCGGCTGGATTAACCATCAACCCGAGCAGGCCACATTCTGATGACCATCCACAATGTATGCCAGCCAGCAAGTGTGGCGAAACACCAAGCAGGCAGTATGCACTACATACTACATGCATTCGCTTGTTCAGCCGGTGTGCTGGTCGACCGAAAATAAGCCTCTATTCTGGCTCTGGTGGTGATCGGAGGAGTGTAAGACAAGGCTGGAGTGCAGTCGTACAAGTGGGTGCATCCCACGCTTGCGGGCTTTTTTGAGCTGATGTGAGCGACCATCTGATCTGCCGGCAGTGAAAGGATGCGGTTGCCAAAGAGATATTAATAGAGGGGCAGAGAGGGATGGGAAAGTACCACGAGAACCAAAATGCGATTTTGGGGCCGCCATGTTCTTCAATCCTTAGTCTTGGCCGCGAACGTGTATTGCCACTGTCTATCAACGTCGATCGTGTCCTTTGACTTAAACCCAAGTCTCTAGTAGAGTTTGAGCTGTCAAACTAGACTCGACAAGCGTGCACGCATATCAGTCGGACGAACCATGCGACCCGCTCAACTATGCTCGCCAACAGCCACAAATGCCAGGTCTTTGCAACGTGAACTGCGGCGATCCGTATATCTGGCTGCCTGACAACAAAATCGGACCGCTGAAAGACAAGTATTGTGTCTACTAACGGATAGCTGCGTCACTGATAGGTAGATGATCGGATTATCCGTGAAACTAAACTCGGCCGCAGCCGATGGCGCCTTGTCGCTGGATCGGAAATGAGAATCCCATGCGTACAGAGGGAGGTTGGAAACGAGACAATGTTCCTCGCGATGGGCCAGAGCACATCTCCTTCTCTTGATGCGAGGAATGCTGCATATTTCACATCGGGATTGTGATCCCCGCAACTCCGACTGGCATTGAAAGGTAATTGAGACCGGGAGACAATTTCTCCTTGCGTCATGACCAACGGAACCGAACCGTTTGATGATACAAATGATCAGGTATTTGCAACCCGCGACTATCAGATACGGTGTCGAAAATGACTGGCCTGCTGAGGTTGCACAAAGTTCCGCTGGATTCGTGGCATGCGTTGTCGAGGATCAGGAGACAACGATAAGTCCGATGTTCGACTATTTTTGAACAACGCAAATCCAAAGACTAGACATGAACCTCGCTGTCTAGTAGTTTTGCGAGTGACTTAGGGATGTGAGCGATTGGTTGGTCATTGAGCGAGTATCGCGGACCGTATAACGGGATAAATCGTCCGGAGGGTTTATAAGCATTCCTTCTTGGCGGAACATCCAATGGGAGCGCCGACCGAGAGCAGTAACATTTTACGTGGCAGGGATACAGGTCGGGAATAAGGCGTATGAGATGGATGGAGGAAAGACACCCTCTGTCACCATGCATCATGAACGAGACAATGTCGCGAGAGATATTGAACGGGAAGGGGTCCCGCGCAGGTTCGAAAGCATAGTGCATTTTTCCTGGCTGGGAATGTAGTTTTGTATCCCTTCACTGACAGTCGCGAGTCGGGGCGGTGCCCGGATCCGAGGTGAGACTTGGAGAGTCTGAAATCCAACGTTGCCTCGTACGGGGAACAATGTGCGACAGTATCACGGTCCACGGCTTCACGGTTTTTGATCTTCTTGGCGCCAAGGAGATAGCAAAGCCCTTGAATCACCCTGCAAGGCGATCAACACTATGGGTTCAGTGGTTCAGTCGCGAGTATGTAAGCCACATCTCTGCTTGTCTGGTTCGAGAAAGTATTTCGCGATGACGGAATGCGAAGCCAAGTGCCGGGACAGTTGCTAAATGTATAGCCCAGCCAGCCTAGTCTTCCGCACGGAGCCCGGAACAGACAACAGTAGGCCGGCGTCATCGTATGATGACTGCTTTGGGGTGACAGCGGCGTCACTGCTATGGACGCAGGAGATGCACTAGGCGCGAGGTATCTGCATGAGGAGAATACGGATAGAGGCGCTACTATCTCGTCCTTTTTCTCCCGAATCGCTTGAGGACGAGGAAGGTGTCTTGGTCGAGGGCAGTTGGTGCATAGATTGATACAGTATTCCAGGCTGTGTTCTTTTGCTTGTTCTTTTGCCAGGTGGTGCCTCGTCTCTGGGGTAGGGATATCAAAATTCGAAAGTAACGCCCGGATGCGAACAGCAACTGAGACAGATTGAAAGACCCATGTCGCAAAGCTGCTAAACGTAGATCTGCGGGCTGGCATTGGAGAGGGCAATAGGTTGGTACCTATTCGAAGGTAGGCATCCGTAGTTGGATGTTGACATGTCAAAATGTGAGATTCACACTTTTGGGATGTTGCGGCGGTCAGGCTGGGGGTCACGGAGCCGCAGCATTCAAAAAGGAAATGAAGACTCAACGACTGGAGGAGCCTGCTTCTGCATCTACGTCTGCAAGCCAACGACGTGGAAGTTGACACTCGTGAGTGAGCTGTGACTGCTTCCTGACAAGAGACTGACAGAACTGACAGGAGCTTCCTTCCGGATTGGGGCCAATGAGAATGGCAGGTGACGATCATCGATCGGCGAGCTCGGAGTGGGGGCGACCACGGTCTGGACCGCGCCAGTTCGAGACCGACGGGGGAGAGCGGATGACCAGGGCTCTTTCCCTTCTGGTACGGATCCACTACATGGTCAGGTACCCAAGTACTAAGCGGAACCCTGCCCTGCACTGGGACGTGTGGAGTGGAGCTCCCTCTCGGATCCATTGATCCATTGATCCAATCCCAATGCTTGGCTCGTTGTTGGCTCTTTCCCATCCAGACATTTCGAAGCCATCCGTCGGGTTCGCTTTGCTGCATCTACGCCGTTGCTGACGACGGCGCAACCTTTCGGCTAGGCTTGTGGAATGTTCAAAACCCTCTTCTTTGATTGAATGCGAGAGACATCCTACCTTGAGCACACACACGGTTTATCTTGGGCATGCACCAGATTGACTCGGACTGACGTATGCCCTCTGCCAAGTGCCGGGCGTCACGGAAAGTTCGGCGGGTACCTGGCTTGCCGCTTGAGAAGCTATCTTGATACAAGCGCTAGTCGCCGTCTTCAGCTTTCATTCTTTCTCGTCATCCAGTAATGGATGGGTAATGACAGGGAATAACGGCATAGCATGGCAGTTGCGCGGGATATGCAGGCAGCCCGCAGAACCACGGGGCGAAGCGAGAAGCCGCGAGGACAGAAGCGGACGGATCTTTGGGTCTGTTTGCTCTTGAAATGTGCGCCGTGTTGGTTTCTTTCTTGTCATCGCTTCCTGTTTCGTTTCCAGATGACTCAAAAGAAGCTGCGCCTGTCTGCTAGGATGCATTCCTATGAGGTGGAGTGGGTGAAAAGAGCGAGATACGCGAGCCGTTGCCCGGCCTTGTGGAGAGACGAAGAAGATCATTTGGCCGGCGCAAGTTGTCTCCAAGTTGCATTGGCAACATGTTTACTGTGTACGCCGAGCCATTAGAGATCTGCACAAGATTTTAACATCTTGTGTATCTGTAAAGGTGTTGTAAATCTCCAATTCTCCATACGCGGAATGACCAACTGAGGTAGGCCAAGCTTGGGCCTTTTGGTGGACAACGAAACCTTACCTGACTGCGTAGGCTTTATTAGGGCCGTGGAGATACGAAGACAGCAGATTACTCACGATTTGACTTGTACCTGTCTTGGAAGATAATCGAACACTGCCGGTGATACCTAGTTGTGAAGTTCCAATGGTAAGAAAAGGTCACCGAGTTACGGCTGGGTTGGCGATTGGCATGAGGTAAAGCAGATGAAGTTGGCTAGGTCGTCTGATGCCTGGTGTGGAACTGGGAGTGTCCATGTCTGGAAGTAGCAAAGCCAAGGTTGGAGTGGGAGCAATGTCTTGGCCAAGGCGCAGAACCCAAGAAGTCGAGAGATTCTAGACCGGGTCCAAAATACCACGCTGCCGTCCATCCACAATGCCACCACCACCACCCCCAGGCCCCAGCTGTGCGGCGTGCCTGCAGTGCGGTCCACGGGCTACCTATGGAGTGCGGATACCAGCCGACAGCTCCGCCCCCAGTCCTAGTCTCCGCCAGAGCCTTCATCCCATCCGCCCTTTCTTTTTGATTCCTCACACCCATTTTAGGTTGTTCCTCACATGTGCAGAGAGAGGGCTGCCTATGTGAGCGCAACGGGCGAGCTTGTATATACACCGTCACACAACTCGTGTCTCGTCATCGCTGGGTGGCCCGCTAGTCCATTGGGATTGAGGAGCCTTCATTCTTCACGTCAACTGATGCTTCCGTCAGTGCCGTTGACGACTGGGCTACCTTACTCACTTACTCAGGAAAGAAGACAAGATGAGATGCATAGATGGACATGGGGTATGCGTGTGTGTGCATATATGTATTTGCCAGTGTCAAGAGCGATGGAAGGAAGTGAGTGGAAAGGTAAAGTAGTGAGACGAAGCAAATGGCATTATCGGATACATCAATTCTGGTGGCTTGTGGTAGTAATGTAGCTAAGGTACGGAAATACGCGATGCCGATCGTACCTACCTACCGTACCTACCTATCAAGAGAGAAAGCAAAGGGAAGGAAGGAGGGGAGAGGACGACCTCGAGTTGGGAAGAATGAACGGGAAGGAAGGAGTTCCGCAGCGGGATAGCCCCGTTGGAAGGAAGGCACGAAGTATGCAGCAGGTATCAAGGGTATAGTTCCCATTTGTTTGATAATTCCACCTCATGGCTCACGCCAGACCTTCTTCTCGTCATGCATTTCCAATTCTTGTCCAATTCGCTTCCGAGTTCCCAGTCCCAGACTCCCACGTCTTTTTTTTTCTCTCTTTTCTTTTTCTGGTCCCTTCCGCAGACCCCGAGCCCCCAATCTGCCATACCGCCTCGGCCTTCGAATTACCTTAGTTTGTTACCTGACGGATACTCACAGCCTGACCAGACCAGACCCCCAGTTGCACATCATCCCCATTTCTGTCACTGCCAGCTGCCAAGAAAGGAGCCGACGTACATACATTCGTCCTTCTGCAAGGTCCTCTGCAGTTTGTTGGACTTCTAGACTCTCCCACCTCACACGTTAGATCCATTCGCATAATCATGCCCGCCCACCTACAGTAATAGTTACTAGTAGTCCACCCCCCGGCGCCATATCTCAGCTTTTTTTTCGCGGGACCATTCCAATCCGGTCCAAGTCCCAAAGGTCCTAAACCGGACCAAAGCATGAGAGAAGAAGGACAGACGGTTCCCCAAACATTAACCAATACACGGCGTGCCCTCGCACTGACTCCTCTTTCGACATCGAGATTCCCATTCCGCCTTTCTGTACCATCTCTCGATTCCATCCTACGTCCTCGATCTCCACGTACATCTTCTTACCTATCCACCGCTCCAACCATCGGAAACACAATCAATCACCTTAACGCAGCATCGCAGAGCAGTCCAGTCAGCACCTAGCACCAGGCCACCAGACCAGACCAGCAGAGCACACCTCGGAGCCATCGCATCGTCAGCCGCTCGCTCGCCTTACGCCTCACTCACACCTCAAGTCGTCTTCAACGGGCCGCCTGCCTACCTTTACCGCTCCGACCTCTACGGGCTTGACCTTGCTTTCTCGTCTTGCGGCTTGCCGCAATCTGACCAGAACTGCACGAAGCACGTTTGAAGGCACCTTCGTAGCCACGCCTTGCAGCAGCAGCAGCAGCAGCAGCAGCAGCACCAGGTCCCCTTCGCTGTGCTTAAGTTCCAGTAGCTTCAGAACCATCACATTCGCCCGTGCCATCATCTCATACACCGCACCTCGTGTGTGGTGTAGATTGCAGGTACACCCTGGATCGCATTCGACCTCATCCTGGTAATTCATCTCTTTCCTTCTACTCCCTTCTAGTCACGGCACTTGATCGTTTGCTTCTGCCGTCCCTTATGCCTTATGACACTCAACGGCGGCTGCCGTAGTGGTGGCACCCTCCCAAAGTTCGGACTGCCAGATTGACGATGACACGCTTTCGGAGTATTTTCCGGTTGACCATCCCACAACTTTGGGCTACTACCTACTCCGGCCGTCTCGTCTCTGTGGCTGCGATAGTGGCAGTCCCATTGTCGCCGTCCAAGTCCGACAAGTCATTATTGTCTCCTTTATTCGTATAGCCCTGCTGCTATCTGCCTACTTTGCTTTTATCTTGTATCGACCGCGTCGGGCCAAACCTTGCCTACCTATCCAGTTGACAGGACTCCGTACAGTCAGTCCCTACCTTACCTATGGAACCTTCGTCTCCAACCCCCAAAATCCCCATCACCCATCACCCCAGTCGCTGGCTGTATCCGTCGTACTTGCACCTCAAGGCTCAAGGCTCAATCCCACCTTACCCTAACTCACCCTGCCTACCCTGTTCAGGCGCGCCCCGATCAAGCCCGCATGTCCCCAGTCACTCCCCTTCCCCGAATCCCAACCCAGGCGTCCGTCCCTTCCAGACTCTTTTTGCTGCAGGCCTTTTCCCTTCCTGTTCATGGCCCGGGCCCGTCAAACCCTCGCTCTATCTCGATCCCCCAATACCCGACTCGCTCGCCAACCACCTGTACCCCGGTTGCAAGGTCAGCTAAGGTAGCAAAGCACACAGCGCCCGTCTGGCCTGGCATCTCCCTGTCGGTGTTTTCTTTTCTTCTATTTTTCTTACCGCTAGCTCACTGCCCCCCTCCTCCTCTCTTCTATGGGAATACCCGAATTTCACTTACCTACGGATACCTACCTACCTTACCTGACTAAGGTAGCGTTGCCCGCCTAAGCCTTTCCCTTCCCGCGGCACCTGGGCTTAGGTTACCCTCACTCGCTCGCTCACCCGTGTCCTGCAAACTGCTGCTCCCGCTTCCCCCCGTGTCATCGTCCACTGTGTCTGTGCTTGCCGTGCGCCTTTACTTCTGCACTTGCTTCACTCCCGTCTCCGCCGTCGCTAAAAAGGAATCATTTTAGTTTCGGCAGGGGAAGACATCCATAGAGAAGGAGGCCCGAGACGAAAATTTCTTGAACGGACCGACTCTCTCGGCCGCACCTCATCTTCACTCCCTCCCCCCGCGCATTCATGCCGCAGGGTGACGATCGCTTCCACCAATCCACAATACGACTCCTCGCTCCCCCTTTGCCCTCGACACACCGACCCTACCACGCCCCCGGAAACATCACCACAACTCCGACCACGGCAACGAACCCGACGACGAGGACGACGACGGCCAGACCGACGACGGCGGACCCGTTCGCTACCGTTTCCACCACCGCCGCCGCGAAACCCGAGGCTTCTACAGCCGCCGTATCTTCTTCTTCTTCCAACACGAACGTCAACCACAAGCGATCGGGTTCACAGCCGCAGTCAAGTAACCCACGTTACCATCCCGCCTCGCCCACCTCGACGACATTGAGCCCCGGAGGGTCATGGACAACTCCCGACATTAGTCGGTATGGTTTGACGTATAGCGACACTACTTGCGATCCCTCATTCGACGCCGCGTCTAAGACGCTCCTGACCCCCAGGTCGGACCCGACCTCTCCGACTATCAGGTCGTTTACAGAATCTACCCATCTGTCGAGACCTTCAACGTCTAACGGGAAGCGCCTGTCCGACGACGAAAACGCACACGAACGACCAAACCCGTCACCTCTGAAGAAGGCGCGAACTCGACTGGGGCCACCAGGGCACATTAAGCTGCCAAAACAACCAACTGCGTCAGTCATTCTGGCTAGGCACAACCAAGGGGTCGTCTCCCCTCTGTTCTTCTCCTCAAACAACAAACGACAGATGCCGCCTCGACCAGCTGCTCTCCCTCCCTCCGACGCTGCAGCTGTCCTGCTAGCTCGTCTGAGGGAGGACCAAGACCGCGTTCACACTGTTCGCCTACCCCGCGGAACCGTTCATGCACAAACATCAGCAAGATCTGGGAGTACGCCGGGGAGCAGTAGTCTATCTTCTGCAGACGCCACCCTAACCTCTTCAAAGAGCCCAAATAGCCAGCATCTTCCTCAAGGACTGCAAATTTTGAGAGGAGTTGGCGTGATCGAACTTTTGGAACAGGATGAGCGTCCAACCTTCATCATCGATCTCGCAAATCCCGTCAACGCGCAAAAATCGGGACTGCATTTGCTATACGCCAATGCGGCGCTCAGGGCTTCCGTGGGTGTCTTGGAATTGCTTTCTGTGGAGGGTGACGATGTCATGAAGAACCCCGACTATATCAACTTCAAAACGTGGGCCACGAGCTTCGTCTTGAACCATGAATCCCTTGACGTCTGCCTTCCTTCTCACAGCTATGGTGGCATCACATGGACATGCTCAACCTTGCGCAAACGATTTCGCTTCGTGAGCGGCAACGCTAGCGCCGTATCAGCACCAGCAGACTCGCCTCCGTTAGCCGATGAATCAGCGGTGCTGGAACAGCGGAGTAGAGGGCCGACACCAAATCAGCCATCAATTGTACCCATGGATGACGAACCCGATTACTTTGGTGATATGGAAGGGGAGCCGCATGAGCTGGACGATACACCAATTGTTGTTGACGATTGTGTGATGATAGACAGTGGTGAGAAGTACCACACTGACGAGTTCACCCAACAGGTCTTCCAAGCAGCGATGATGAGGCCATCGTTTGACTGGACCCGCATTCAAACAACCCCGGATTTGAGTGAACATATCCTATTCTGTCGCAACACCGATTGGGCCTCCACATCATTGGGTCCGTTGGAGCACTGGAGTTCAGAATTGAGGGCCATGGCCAACATGGTTATGGGTAGTCCCCACCCTGCGGCCATGTACTGGGGACGGGACAATGTCGCCATCTACAATGAGGCCTACATTGAGCTTGCCGGACAAAAGCACCCTCAACTCATGGGCATGCGGTATCAGGACGCATGGAAAGAGATCTGGTCGGATATCGAGCCTTTGTTCAATAATGCTTGGACAAATGGGCAGTCAATCATGAAGAACGACAACCAGCTATTCATCCTTCGACACGGATTCCTCGAGGAGACATTCTTTTCATGGTCAATCATCCCATTACTGGGTTCTGATGGCCAGGTGGTCGGACTCTACAATCCGGCTTTCGAAAATACCCGCCGCAAGGTCAACGAACGCCGGATGTTGACTTTGCGAGAGGTGGGCGAGAAGACAGCTGCTGCTAAGGACGTCAGAAGCTTCTGGCCGCGGGTCAAGGATGGATTGGAGTTCAACGACTTGGACGTACCGTTTGCCCTCATTTACTCCGTGAAGGAAGACAATAGCGAGAGTGAAGTATCTTCTATGCACTCTGGAAGCATAGCCCACCCACCATTATTACACCTCGAGGGCAGCTTGGGCGTTCCAGAGGGACACCCAGCTGGGCTACCCCAGCTCGACCTAAAGTCATCAGACGATGGCTTCGCTCCCTATATGCGCCAGTCTATGACGATGCAAGGTGCACCCATCATTCTCTCGTCGGAAGCTGGCAACCTGCCAGCAAAGTTACTCGAAGGCTTGGAGTGGCGAGGCTTCGGTGACCCAAGTAGGACTATCGTTATCTTGCCTGTCCACCCTACCACAGCCGGTGAGTCTGTCGTTGGCTTCATCGTCTTGGGCACCAACCCCCGTCGACCTTATGACGAAGACTATCAGCTTTTTATCCATCTCTTGTCGAGACAACTTGCGACGTCCATGGCATCGGTCGTGCTTTTCGAAGAGGAGATCAGAAGAGGACAGAGGGCTGCTCGCTTGGCCGCGATGGATCGTCAAGAATTGCAAATGGAACTCTATTTGAGAACACAAGAGGCAGTCGAGAGCGAGTACAAGTTCTCGCGAATGGCAGAATTCGCACCGGTAGGCATGTTCATTGCTAACGACAAGGGCCTCATCAACTTTGCCAACGATATGTGGTGGCAAATTTCCAGGCATCCCAGAACAGAAGACAGTGTCAACACATGGATGCAAAGTGTGAGGGATGAAGATCGATCGGGCGTCGAACTTGCTTGGAGGAAGCTCATTGAAGACAAGGAAGCCATCACCATTGAGTTTAGGTTCAAATGCAGCCGCCAGAACGGGATGAACACCATCGATACCTGGGTCCTCATGAGTGCTTTCCCAGAGCAGACTCAAGAGGGCGACCTGAAGAGTATCTTTGGTTGCATCACCGATATTTCGCCTCAAAAATGGGCCGAGGATTTCCAGAAGCAACGCAGAGAAGAGGCAGTTGAGCTCAAACGCCAACAAGAGAACTTCATCGACATCACGAGTCACGAAATGCGGAATCCATTGAGTGCGGTCCTCCAGTGTGCTGATGAAATCGTCAACAGTATCACAGAGTACCGCGCTCAACCGCAGGATCCGACACAACTCGACACCCTGTTGGAAAGCTGCACCGAAGCCGCCAGCACCATCAACCTATGCGCCAGCCATCAGAAACGTATTGTCGATGATGTGCTTACCCTTTCGAAGCTTGACTCGCAACTTCTGCTTGTGACACCCGTCGACTCGCATCCGGTCACGATTGTCAAACACGTCATCAAGATGTTCGAGTCGGAGTTAAACACACATGAGATCAAGCTAGACTTCTCGGTAGACAAAGCCTACAGCACTCACGCTGTCGACTGGGTCAAGTTGGATCCATCTAGGCTGAGGCAGGTTCTGATTAACCTCATGACCAACGCCATCAAATTCACCCAAGGCCGTGAGAAACGCGAAATCACCATGAAGATGAGCGCATCCAAGAATATCACCGAGGTTACCCAAAAAGGAGTGTCATTTTTCCCGACCCGTAAAGAGAAGGAGGACGTTCGGGCTTTGACCCAGGAGAAGGATTGGGGAACAGGAGAGGAAATCAACCTCCATTTCTCAGTCCAAGACACAGGTCCTGGTCTCCGCGAAGATGAGAAAAAGCTTCTCTTCCAGCGGTTCTCCCAGGCATCACCGCGCACCCACGTGCAGTATGGTGGCTCGGGACTCGGTCTCTTCATCTCTCGCATGCTTGCCGAATTACAGGGCGGCCAGATTGGTGTTGTCTCCGAGAAGGGAATCGGCAGCACTTTCGCATTCTACGTCAAGTGTCGCAAGACGGAATCACCTAGTCTGGAGTCGCCGTCTCTCTCGGCGCTCAACTTGGCGCAACCAGTCAAAAGCGAGCCAACTTCCGCACCATCGACGCCTCCGCTCACAGCCCTGCCTAGAAGGGCTTCTATCAAGAAGCCGGTGGCCCCTGCGACGCCGCTGTACGATGTTTTGATTGTGGAGGACAACATTGTTAATCAGAGGGTTCTGCGGAAGCAACTCACAAGCTGCGGCAACACTACATACGTCGCTAACCACGGAGGCGAGGCCCTCGAACAGCTCAAGAAGTCCCGTTTCTGGGCTGGCAACGAGGCTGAGGGCTTTGATCTCAGCGTCATTCTTATGGACCTGGAGATGCCGGTCATGGATGGAATCACGTGTACGAAACGTATCCGTGAATTGGAGAGGGAAGGCACTTTGACTAGGCATATCCCCATCATTGCTGTCACGGCATACGCGCGGCCAGAGCAGATCGAGAGCGCGAAAGCCGCCGGTATCGTGAGTGGACCTCCAAACTGCACATATCGAACTTCACTAACATGATGACACAGGACGACGTGATTTCGAAGCCTTTTAGAATACCGGACTTGCTGCCCAAGGTGAAGGAATTGGTTACGATGTACAATGCACCACCTACTACCGAGGCCACGCCCCTGGCTTGAGTAGGAACACGCCTATAGAGGCTGCGTTCGCATAAAGCCTTTGAACCGCATGCGGTCCTGTCCGAAGCGATGGCAAGAGGCCGCTGGAGTTGGACCACTGTTTTATTCATTTTTCGAATTGGGTCCTTGCATTTTTCATTTTTCTCCTTTTTCCGCCAAGACTCGCTATTGCACTAGAGAGGTGCGGTAGTACTAGAGAATAGGCCGGGGGCGTTCAAGGAGGGGCAACTGACCAAAAAGACTTGGGAGAAGGTATTGGTTTGTTTCAGTGTGCATAAGACTTGCATTTGAGAGGAGCAAGGCATTTGGAAGCACGAGACTTGGAGTATTGAGGCGGGAACGCACATGATGCGAGGACGAGTCACGGGGCATATGGAATCTAAGTGGGCAACAGATCCTACTGACGAATATCTTCAGCGTATCTTTTTTGATATTCCTGACTCGGAGTATTGTAATGCAAAGATACCCATATTAACATGGTTAAAAATCATTCTCCACGCGTGTGCGAAGTTTTAGTATGCAATTCTCTTAAGTTCGTCGTGAACTCACCTCAGGTACGGTCATCGACTTGCCCGTGATTGACCCTTGCACTACCAGTTCAAGCACGGACCATGCCTAAAATGCTTACGTAACGAAGATTTTTCTGCGAGAGCGAGCTCCTGGCAAGATCAACCTCGAGGTCAGGGACGAAGCTCACCACTTTCAACAGACATTGATCGCGAAGCCCGACACAATTCGCGCCTCCCCCGAAAATGCATCAATCGGCGCTGCGATCGGCGAGCAGCCGCATAAAACCTGACGTGGTCGCAATCAAGACCTGCATCCGGACCTTTTCTACGACGCAATTGCGCCTGGCGGACGAATCTTCTTCATCGAACTCGAACAGGAACGACAATGGCGACAAATCTTCCTCCTCGCGAGCCTACAACAGGCCTCAACTTACCGGACGAGAGCGCTCCCGCGCCGCGGCTAGCGAGATTGGACAGCTTCTGCGTGGCGGGCCGGTGAATAATGCTGCTGCTTCTTCCGGCGGTGCTGCTCAGCCTCGGGGCCTTGATGAGAAGCCTAGGCTTGGTGGTCTCGATGGACCTTCTGGAGCTGGCGGTGCGGTCAAATTCGTCAAGGCGCCTGTCGGATTCGGACGTGGTCGTGGTGGTCCCGGCGCGGGCTTCGGCGCTCGTGGAGGACGTGGAGATTTCGCTGGCCGTGGAGGGTTCGCCGGCCGTGGAGGAGGCGAGGGAGGCGGTGGTTTCAGAGGACGCGGAGGCGGCGGCTTCAGGGGTCGTGGTGCCGGTCGAGGTGGTACCGGCCGCGGTGGTCGCGGAGGCCGTGGAGGTCGCGGCGGAGGCCGGGGCGGACGCAAGGGCGAAGAAGACGGCGAGAACCGCCCCAAGCCTACTGGGCAGGGCCCCGAGGGTTGGAAGTCCCAAATCGAGATGTTCTGGCGTCCCGAGACGGCCGAGGAGCGCGCGTACATTTCGAAACGCAACGGTGCGCCCGAGCAGTTTACGCCTAGTCTCAGCGTCGGCGACCTGCTGGGCTTCAGGCCCGCCATGCCCCTCTCTTCGGCGGCGCAGCCCGTCGTGCAGGCGGCGACGGTGCTGAGCTCGCTGCGGGAGGTTGCCGGCGCGGCGGATTACACGCCCGAGCGGTGGGGCGACGTGCGGCACACGGCCGAGACGCTGGCTAATACCCGGGACCGAGGCGTGTACTTCTTCGTCGACGGTGCGGAGAAGAAGGCGTTTGTCGAGGCGCGCGAGGAGAGGACGGGCGAGAAGGCGGCGGCGGAGGAGAAGCCTGACGCTATTGCGGGTGTCGTCGACGACGATGTCCACGTCCACGCCGTGCGGGATCTGAAGCTCGAGGAGGGCGCGAGCAAGGCCGTGAGGGAGTATATCCTTCAGCGGGCCGTCAAGGGCCAGCACGTCGGTCCCAAGTTCGTGCCGGGCGGCAGCCGGGATCCGGTCAACATGGCTAAAGAGTCGCACCTGCACAACGAGACGTACGTGGCGGGGGATATGAAGAAGTTTGACGACAAGATTGCGGCTCTTGTTGCTAAGAAGGGTGCTGCTGGTGCCGCCAAGGGGGGCAAGGCTGCGAGGGCTTGATTTGGAAGGCCTGGGTCTTTCAAGAGAATGTAATATCAACAAGGATGGTAACAAGTACGGGAAGAAGAGTGAAGACGAAAATGCAGATGGGCGATTCGTTGTATGATTATAGAGATGGGGAGGTTTGGTACAGCCAAAAAAAAAAAAATACATATTGTACAACTAGATCCGAAAGTCTCTTCTACTGTACACTACGGATTGAACCTTTTCTCCCGAGACTTTTCATGGTTGCAACTACCTCGTTATACATGGGGAAAGCAATATCTTCTATTGTAATGTGACCCGTCGAAGACTTTTGAGTTCAATAACTTGGAAAAGTGTTCCATCTGTTCCCAGAACTTAAGCTTGCAACTTCCTGACAGCCTGCTGCTCAGCAGCATCGACAACCTTCATCTCCTTATCCTGCACCTTTTGCAGCTCCTTGTCCGCCCGCCTCTTGAGATCCGGCACGATGCTCTTCTCCTTCTCCCACTTTGCGTGCAGCTTCTTCCTCTTCTCCGTCGCGACGCGCATCTTGTCCCGCCACGCCTGGGCGGCGTCCTTTGCCCGCCGCACAACGACCTCCTTGTTTGTCGCCTCGACCTTGAGCACGAGCTCGAGCTCGTTGTCCGGGTCGCGCTGCGGCTGCTGGTTGAAGTCGGGCGAGGCCTGGACGGCGGCCATGACGGGCTTGACGTAGTCCTTGTCGTGCAGCAGGAGGCTGACGGTGCGCCCCCCGGGGCGGGGCACGATCTCGGCGAGCTCGCGGAGGGGGTAGGTCGTCGGGTCCTTGCGGTCGGGCTGGATGGCGAGGGCGCCGATGGCGTCGGGCGAGAAGCGGTCGCCGGATTGGAGTTTTTTGAGGATCTCGGTGTGGTGGGAGGAGAGGGAGGCGAAGCGGGAGGCGACGTCGGCGAAGTTGAGGGGGTCGGTTGGGTCTGGTTTCGGGTGCTTTGAGCCCGGGAGGTCGTCTGTGTCGGCTTCGTCTGCGGTGTGGGAGGTGCGGGAGACGACGGCGGGGGAGTCGGCTGTTGGGTATTTGGGCTCGCTCTTCTTCTTCTTTTGGAGGGTTGTTGAGTGGGAGAAGGGACGAATCGTCGCGGCGGTGGTGTTGTTTTGCGGGCGGAGAGTTGAGGATACCATCAGGCGAGCTGCGAGCGGTGCCTGGATTGCGCTGCTGTTTCGGGTCAATTGAAGTCGCCTGGTCGAGCTGGTAAGGGAGATCACCTTTGAGAAGCTGGTAGAATGCCATTGGCGCCTCTGAGGAGCGCATTGGGAGCTCTGAGTCCTCGCATGGTGTCTTTGTGGGTTGATGAGTGTGATGTGTTACTGACTGGCAGTTGGAAGCTCTGGCAATTTTGGAGCGCTGGATGTGACGTACAGAGCTCGCATGGAGGCCTCAGCTCCACTACCTAGACAACTTCAGTACACAATTGGGACGAAACTTCAACAAGAAGCATCCGGTCGATTGGCCCAGTGGTTAAGGCATCTGCTTTACACGCAGAGGATCGCAGGTTCGATCCCTGCATCGATCAACAGCTTCAACTTTTGCATTTCGAGATTCCTGGGAATGATTCTAAGGCGCAGAAACATGTTTCGTTGTCACTTTTACTCTTGTAGGCCAAAAGCAAGACATGGACGAGGATGCAGTGAGGTGTACTTGAAGCTCAACCATTTTTTGCATTAACTTTGCATGTACTGCCGGTAACTTTGGAGCTTGGAGCGGGAAGCTGCCAACCCGTTTAGACGCATTGTACCTACGAATACACCTACCCCAAGACCCCCCAAAGTTCTCTGAGGTAGGTAGCCAGAGTCGCGCTTTTTCACAAGCAGGCGACGTCAGTGGGAGGCTCAACCTTTCAACCACCACTTACTTCATCCAAACACCCCATACCCGCCAAAATGGAGATCGAGGTCGACGAAGATCTCTTGCGGACGGTTGCGACAGGCGGCGAAATGGACTAGTAAGTGAACTTGTTGTCTTCTCTATCCATCTCCTGTTTAGCTGCTAATTGCATGGCGCATCAGCGGTCTATGGCCCGCCCTGTCGCAAGGAATCATCTCGAGGCTAGATAAGGTACGTCCGCCCCCAAGTCTGGCTTCGACCGGAAAATCCCACCATCGTATATCTATGAAAGACGAAATCTCCTCGATAGGGCGCGCTCACCAGTTCGCAACGCGAATGTCTAGATCGCCCACAATGCATTCCCTATTCCGAACCTACCCACCCCTCCTCAACCCATTAACGCGTCAGGCCAACAACCACGACTACTCTCGCCGCTCCCCTCATCCTCCATCGATCCCGCCAGCAGCCAGCCGTCATCACAGGATGCCGACAAAGAGAACAGCCAGCCTAAAGATGCCTCGCCGTCCAAGGCCATGATCGAAAGCGCTACTGATGCCGACGCAGCTGTCGCCGACACACCCCCGTCCACCGCCTCGAGATCGCTCCCTGCACAGATTGAGGCCATGCTGAACGAGATCAACACTGTCTTGGCCAGCTTCCCGAAATACCCGCCGCACACGATCCAGCGCCTTGCCGAGCTCGTCCTCGAGCCGCGCCGCCATTACCGCCACCTGGCATCGTACCTCCATGCCGTCGACCGCGTCGTTCATGTAACTAGTGGCGCAAACACCTACCCTCTTCCGCCCGCCATACCCGACATGTCTACCATGACACTGCTTTCCAATGGCAGCGCGAACGGCCAGGAGGTTAACAACCCAGCGGCTTCGGTCGCCTGGAGCAACTCGACCAACTCAGTCGCCTCAACCGTCGGCACAGACGAAGCCCTTGGCGGCGCTCTACTAACCCCGATCCCGTGGCTCACACGCCGACCAAGCCCCGGCTCATCCTCGCCAGCCTCTTCAAATGGCGGTGGACCGGCCGAGATTCGTACCGAGTCAACGGAGACCATTGATGGCCCTAATGGCGTCGGAAGTATCGAGACTGTCAGTGTCAGTGTCAACGGCATACCGTCTATGGGCGCCAGCAGCAGCCGCGCGATAACACAAGGTGAGTTACTGCGACAAGAGCAGGAGCAGGGCGTCGTTCCAGTCAACCAACTCGTGCGACAAGCAGAAGAAGCACAACACGCCGCCGCCCTGCGAAGCGGGGACGGCGGCAGAGCCAGTAGCCCCGAGAAGCAGCAGCAGGATGATGAGCAGCAGGACGCTGCCGGTGCTGCTGCCGCTGCTGAAGACGAGAACGAGGCGCCGCACGCTCGCGGCCCCGAGGAGATTGGTGTTGGCGACCTCGGCCCGCAGAGCGAGACGACGAGCTTTGTGGGCGGTGGGCCCGGTCTTGATATGCAGGGCATTGATGTTGAGGCTGCGGTGGGCAGGAAAGCCGCCACGCCTCCTCCCGAGGACGTCAAGGAGGGTGATGCCGCAGCGGAGGATGGGATGAGGGCGGATGCGGTTGTCGATGACGCGGCATCCGACACGAGTATCACGTCGCATCCTAAACGTGACGCTGACGAGGAGCTCGATGGTCTTGCGAGCAAGAAGGTCAAGGAGCACGAGGGAGACATTGCGGGCGAATCAACGGATGCTACAACCCCTACCTCGCCCAAGGAAGACGACACCAAGGAGGAGGATGCGAAGGAGGCCGAGCCTGGTGAGGCCAAGGCCGAAGAAGGCAAAGATGAGGAGACTGAGGCCAAGAAGGATGATGCGACGGACGAGGCTACTGCTGCAGAGGCGGCGGCGGCAGCGGCAGCGGCAGCGAAAGCGAAAGACGCCGAGATGGCTGCCAAAGCAGGAGGCGCTTAGGAGGGAACGTACAGGGTCCTTCGCTCAATGAGTGAGTTGTGTTGCGGATGATTATATGATACCAAGAAACCGTCTTCACCAAAAATCTACATCGTCGTTTGTCATCCTTGTGATTTGAGGTTTGAAGCATTGCCGTGAGTTTGGGTCGACCTGGCGCGTTAATATCGATTGATATCAAAGTCAGGCATAAAATTTTGACGAGACATACGCGAGGTAACATTACAAAACTCATGAGGGGTTTATAATAGTCTCAACCATATCATTGCCAACTCAAGTGGCAAGGTAGTATTCGTGTAGCTCTTTGACTACATGGGCGAAGAAAACAAAGTAGTAGACAACCGTAAACCTCCCAAACGCCATGCGCTATTCCATGGTCCATGATGAAGCAGCCCCGAAATCCCATGCCTTTCCCACATAAACGCCTTATGAACAGACAAATCTCATCACAAGACCCTGGTAATACTCTCCTTCGTAATGACACTGTTCTGCTTGTCGTCCCGCCGAACCCGGAAGAAGCTGTCGCAGAAGTCGCTGCAGCGCATGTGTCGCAAAAACTCCTCGTCGTGCGTGATGACGATGAGCTGGAAGTTGCTCTGCGCCTGGCGCGCCTTGATGATGGCGTGCAGGCTCTCGGCGAGGCTCTTGATGTTGTCCTTGTCGAGATTGGTCGTCGGCTCGTCGAGGGCGATGAGGCCGCAGTTGACGCCGAAGCTCTCGGCGAGGGCGAGGCGGATGATGATGCTGGCGAGGACCTTTTGACCCGCTGAACAGCGGCCACGCATGTCCATCTCGGTGTCCTGCTTGACCATGCAGACGCGATAGTTGTACGAGCGGCGGCCCGTCGTCGCATTCTCGTTGTCGGAACGGATGAGGATGGTGTCAATATCGGTACCCTGGTACGTGCTCTGCCACAACTCGCCGGCGATGCGGTTGATCTCCTCCATCTTGAGGCTGTGGTACCGCATGATAGCCGTGTCCAGCGCCGAAATGTAACGGCCCAAGTCCTCAATGGCAGCTTTGGTTGTCTCAACCTTGATGTGCGACTCACGATACTTTCTGGAAGAGTTCTTGTACTCTTGTTGCCACTCTTCCAGGAGTCGCTCAAGTTCCTCGTCTTTTGTCTTCATCTGCCCCATGATAGAGCCACGGTCGGCGACCAGTCGGTTGTGGCGGTTCTCCAGGTGCTTTGCTTCGGAAATCAGCGACTTGTAATCTTCGTCAGCGTCACGAGACTCCAGTTCTGCAATGTCTCGGCGGAGGATGTCGAGCTGCTGCAGGTTCTGGCGGTACTTCAGGTTATTGCTGATATTTTGCTTCTTGCGATCACCGTTATCAATGTCCTGCTTCAACTTGTTCGTCCGCACGGTCAAGTCTGAAATTTCCTTCTCCAGGCCAGCAATCGACTTCTCGAGGCTAGCGATAGCGCGCTGGTTTGCTGCCAGGTTGGAAGGGCCGCCCCGGTCAATGTACTCCTGAATATCACTCTCAACCATCTTGAACTCAGTGACGGAGTCGGCAACCTTGTCGCGCTCCTCGGCAACAGACTGTTCCTTGCCACGGCCGCGTTGCAAGGTTTCGTCCCGGACTAATCTGGCCTCGGCGATCTCCGGCTCGATAGATTCTAGCTCCTGGTCGGCGGTGTTGATCAAGTCTCGTTGGTGGGCCTGATCCTCCTTTAAAGTCTGGATCTGGTTCAGGAAGTCCTTTTTACGTTCAAGCTGGTTCAAGGCCTTGCTTAACTTATTCCGGAGCTCGCTCTTCTCCAGCTCGAGAGAGTTCACCTGGTCCCTCATCCGCTGCCAATCCGTCGTCGTCTTCGAGATCTTACCCTTTATCGTTCGAATCTGTTCGTTGCATGAAGCCTGAAGGTCATGTATTTCATCAGCGCTCCTGCTGACGTTGCCAGATGATTGCTGAGACATGATTCTGTCAACCTGCGCTTCGGAGTCTTTAATGTCCTTCAAAACTTGTGTGATGTTGATGACAGTCTTGTTGAGAGACTCTATGTCGTTCAGTTTACCTTCCTCGGTGCTGACAGCGGCGTCATGCTCCTCGAGCTGCCGGCCCAAAGTTTCACACTCCGCTTCGAAAGAAGCAACCTCTTCCTTGAGAGGAGGCAGCTCCGACATCAGCCTCTGGTACGTTTCGTACTGCGTCTTCACCGTCCGCAGTGAGCCGAGTAGGGCGTTAGAGTTGGCGAGATCTTCCTCTGCCTTTTCCTTCTTGTTGGGATCAAGAAACTTGATCAACTTGTCTGAGAAGCGAGACTTGGAAACGTTGGACTTGTCATCAAAGTTGCGGTCGCACAGCCGGCATTTGTTCTTGTCTTGCAGGGTCTTTTGACAACCGCGGTAGTAATCCGCCAAAGCATCAAGAAGGCTGATATCAGTGGTGTACGTCTCCACGTCTTCCTCATGCATCTTGACTTCTTCTTCGTAATCCTCAATTGCTGCACCGTCTCGAACCGCCTGCAAAGCACCAACGACCGCAGTCCGACAACGTTGTGCTTCATCGGTTTTTTTGGAACCAATGTCTTTGGCGCTCTTGAGTCTGAAGTCGACCTTCTGTTGCTTGTCCCGCGCAGTATCCCGTTTCTGGCGAGCTTCAGAAACAACCTTGTTCTGGCGCTTCACGGCATCGTGAAACTGGGCCTCGAGAGTGTCGGTCTGCCAAGTGGTGCCAATATGCGTGTCTAACTTGGGCTTCCATGTGGTGGCTAGGGTCTCCAGTTTCCGCTTGCGATCTGCCAGCTCTTTCTTTCTCAAATCCAGCTGTGCCCGCTCCGAGGCAAGTCTGGTGCACTCAATTAATTCGCGTCCAAGTTTTTCCGTCTCGCTCTCGAGTTGCCACAGCTTCTCGTTTTCCGACTTGAGCTGAGTATCGTAGTCGGCACTACTCAAGGACTCCTGAGCTTTCTTCAACCTGCCTTCGACATCCTCGAATTGGCTGTCTAAAACGGCCTTGGCGCCCTCGTCAATGTCCAGACGATTAATGTCCATTTGCAAGACATTGGTCCGCTTCTCAATGGCACCCATTCGTTGCTTGGCGAACACACGGTTTTGCGTCGTGGTTGCCTTCCGACCCTCCAGCTCCGTAATGACCTTAGTCGCCTCGTCTAGCTCACGCGCGTTCTCCTTTTGTAGACGTTCGAGATCACGCTTCTTCTCAGCTAGTAGCTTCTGGATGCGCTCGTTGAACGCCTTGATCTGACTGTCCTTCAAATCACCATCGTAGCCGCGGAAGCCGTGAAGTTCTGCTGCATCTCGGACCAAGTGGATACGGGACTGAAGTTGCCGTTCATACTTGTCCTTGTCAGATTGGTGTTTTCCCTGCTCGGCGAGCTTCGCTGAATGTTCTCGACGAGACTGTGTAAGATCCATCTGCAGCTCCGAATACTGGGCCTTGTTCTGCTCTGATTCTTCTTGGTACCGAGACATGCGCTCTTCGTACTGCGCAAGTGCATTCTCCAGGTATTCGTCGGTCTCGGGAAGCTCTTCAAGGGTCATCTTGATATCCGCGATGGATCCTTCGCGGTAGCTGAGCTGATCTCTCTTGAACTTGAGGTCATTGACGATGCTCAAGTAGCTGTTGGCCTGCTCGTGCTTCTCGCGGATCTGCTCCTGAAGCTCCTCCATCTCCTCCGTGAGGGCATTGCACTTATCCCTGGAGCTCTCGATATCGTTCTGCAATGCCATAGATCGCTTCTCGGCACGGTCGCCCTTCTCCTTATTGATTCGGTCTTGTTCCTCAAAGATCTTGAGCTTGGCAAGTTCTTCGCCCTGCTTCTTTCTGAGAACCTTGAGGTTGTCAATGGCTTTGGTGTATCGCATCGCTTCGAAGATCTGGTCGAACTGCTTCTTCAGGGCCGAAGGCTCACTCATGGGCCAGAGAGATTCGTCCTGATGGCAGAAGATGACGTAGTCGAGGATTGCTCTGGAAACGCCCAATTCTCTCGGGATGAATTCATCCATCTGGGCGACCCGGGATGAAATGACGGTACGTTCGCCATGGTTGTTGTACACTAGTGATCCCTCGAGAGTCTTGAGCGATCGAGTGGTTTTCTTGACGGTTAACTGAAGGCTTCGTGTCGCAACGCATTTGTGGCTGCTAGTTGATGTGAACGCAAGCTTGACTTGGGCCAAGACTTCCTTCTCTCCGCAGAGCTACAAAATGTTAGCCTCAGTAGGTGAATTGGACGGAAGAATGAGGCACAAACCTTGGGGTCATGGACGAAAGCACCGCCTTTGCTGTTCGGAGGTTGCTCGCCGGTGGTCGCATACTTGAGACACTCGATAATGGTCGTCTTACCCGAGCCGTTGTAACCGACGATGAGTGTCAAGGGAGTGTAGAAGGAAATTGTCTCCCTGCTGCCACCAAAAGAGCGAATGCCCTGGATGGATAGCTTGTCAATTTTAGACATGGTGACTTGGGGCCAATGCCATGCGATGAGGTGGGATTGGGCTGATCAATGAGGCGCGGCTCAAGAAGACGTTGACACGAAAAGTTGGGCCCAATAGGAAAATCTCGCAAGAAAGGCAGGAGAGTCTTTTTGTCTTCTCGTTTGGAAAGTTGCTCCTGGGGTGGCTCGTCGTCGCCGTCCAGGCTCCAATGAGGTCGACACAGAGGCGGATAGGTGCCTTGAGTGGGATGCAGGATGTAGGGGACGTGCACCAAGGAGGACGCGCCTTCCCGGCGGCCAGGCACGCGTTGATGGAGGTGCGAAAAAGCGTGACTTCGCATACATGTTTATGTAAGCCGCTGGTGACTTGAGGTAAGGTAGCCAAGCAACAAACGCTACAGAATGCTCTATCCGACGGCAGTATCGTTGCTGACTGATCCTCAGCACCGTCGCTCTCCCCAGATAACGGACCCTGTTAGGTAATATGCGAGGTTCGATATAGATACAGTGATTTGGGTACCTGGAAACGCCCCGAGTATTACGAGAACACTAGATACAGCAAGTTCAGAGTTGAGATGAAACCCATCTTTTGAATATTTCCATCTCTTGTGTGTGCGCGCCCTGGTAAGATAGGGAGAGCAATTCGAAGTGGGGTGGATTTCTGAGAGCCTTAAGACAGCTCGAACTAGGTACTTCCTCGGCTGGGGCGCTATTTAATAAGATCGGACTACTTTGGGAGAGCTCCTATTAACTTAGGTGCCAGGTAGAGACGGTGCATGCACAACGTCATCGAGACAACTTGGACTTATTCCTTTGTCAGAAGATGTTCGCACTAGCCTTCCTTGAATGCCCGCATTATCCATATGGCGACACATGTTTGGTAGGCATATTGGAAGAGTTTCTCTTTCCACTGCTTGTGAAACGGCATGTTTCCGAGGCATTTTGCTCCATTACATCACTGGATACCCTGCATCAAAAGGACAGGTACTATCAAGCAGGGTTCAGTTCTAAGGTAGTTTAGCAGATTCCGTCGAATATCTGATGGAGTTTTGTAATGTTACAATGCGAATACGCCATATCCATAGTCCTTTCTGGTGGGTTGCAGGGAACATTACTCGAGTCAAGGCCTAGAGCGATCGAACAAGCAGCAAGTTGGAGTAAGCGCAGCATGCCCGCTCAACAAGAAGTCTTCAGAAGAAGAGTTTAGAAGAAGTTTGTGCGTATTGGGCAAGCATTCCGGACGTGACGCTCTGACTTTGGTCCTCAGCAGTCCTGATTTTCGTCTGGTTAACGGGACGGAGGGTGGATGACGACGAGGTACTGACATGCTGGAGTTTACAGGTTCTCTACGGATAGTGTTTCCGGTACCATTTGACTTGGGCTGATGCTTTACTCAAGAGACAACCGCCAAGTGCCAGCCACAGTTCACTCGCGAGGCGTGAGGCGCAAGACGTGACAGATAGCGGATACTTCATGGTTCGATACCAAACAAGCCACGAGCCCACGACGTCCAGTCCTAGTTAGGTACTGTCCAACTCCAAGTCAGCCCCACTGAGTGGTCGGGACAAGTCTTTGACCGCTCAAATTGCAGTGCAAGATGGGGTCACAAATGCCTCTAGGTCGGGGCATATGCTCCGGACAGCGCTATCCCAGTTGACAAGCTGGTCGACCCATCGGGATGGGCTAGGAGCAGTGAGGGGATTATCGCTGTGCTGAGTTCTCAGGGCATCAGCCTTGGAATAACTTTTGATGGAGCTGGCTACCGGGCATGGGCCGTGCATGCAGGGCGCATGACCTACGGTGCCCAAGGCATACAGTAAGGCAAGGCGAGGAAAAGTCAGGTAGGAATGGTATCCAAGGTGAGCCAAGGTAAGGTAGATGATGCCATTCTTTTCATGCCCGCCATGTGCTGCTTCATACTAAGGTCTGGCTAGCGAGCAAGGTGAGGTGCGGCTTTCCATGAGATACTCCCGTACATACCTACATAGTACTTAAGTAGGTAGGTAGGTAGGTATCGGATGGGACATGGGAGAGTTTTCGGCGGGGTTCAAAGGATAGAGGTCTGGAATTGGGAGGGGGAGTCTATGGTAGTGTACACTCAGTAGGTAGGTACGGAGTACGGCTATGGAGTGAGGTAATGTGCCAGAGGGGAGGGGAAGAGGGGGAAGTTGGAGGCAACTCATTGGGCGGAGAGAAACTGGGAAGTACCTCAGTCTCAGTGAACAGAGGCCCGGCGCCCAATGTGAATGGCCAAGTGACCCAACCCAATGCAAGGAAGGCAGGGTCGGGTGCGATGACGAAGTACCTGCCTTCATTGAGGTAGGTACGGAGTACTTGCCTGCGCTGTGCCGGCGACGGTGGAGGGGTGCAGCGGACCATCAGCGGTGCAGTTAAGGACGGGATGCTTGAGGTGAAGGGGGGGAAAAGTCCATAGCCAGAATTGCCATGTGCTCCGTTTCCATTTTGCAGTTTCCCATCCTTTTTTTCCCACCTCATCTCAGGTCCCTGCTTCTTCCATTGCTTCTTGCACCTGCTGCTTCCGCTACCTTACCTACCGCTGCCGCTTCCGCTTCCCTTTTTTTTTTTTTTTTTCCATCCGTATCCGTACCTTACCTTACCTTACTTTACGGAGCTCAATATCTTACGTGCGGGCTCGCAGCTCTGCACCTTCTGCATCCCAGCTCAAGGTAGCCATTCTGTCCCTGCCAAATTTTTGGATGGTGACGACTTGACCTTATTTTCTCTCTCCTTTCCTGCACTGCACTTTCGTGTGCCTCGCACCTTCACGTCTCAACCTTTTTTTCCCTTTCATCTTTTCCCCCCATTCTTGTCGTCTCCTCATCCATTCCCTCTCATCCCATTTCACTCCCCCACCGTTCCGGCGCAGCTTCTGATCTTCCCTCGCGACCCTGCATCGCTGGCCAGGCCAGGCCGCGCCTCGACTCGACCTCATTTTATGACCCGCGTGCCAACCTGACGGAACCCAATCCAGCCCTCGCAAAGCGTCTCACAGCAGCCAAGACAAGGACCGCAGCCACGGGCTCTCTCTACTACGTACTGCCCATCTCACCCACCGCTGCACTCACTCCCGCTTGATCTGGCCTTCCATCTCGGCCCTCGATTCAAAAGCCCGTCTCATTCATCCACGCACTCAGCTCACTCACTCACTCACTCACTCCCTCGACAACTGGCCCCGTGTACTACTAGGTACTGCTGCCGCTACTGAACCCTCGCTTCCTTTTGCACCGCTGCGAACCAGACAGGCATAGTCAGCCTTTGTACCGATACTCATTCGCAGCTGCAAACCCATCTGGCCCTTTTTATTAATTGATACGAGACCCCGTCGCTTGGAAACATTTCACAGAGAAACATACCAACACCACCACCATCCCCGTCGACCTTATCTGGGTGCCCTCCGCTTTTTTCTCTCTCTCTCCCTCTCTATTCCCTCGTTCTGTTGCATCCGCCGCACGCACTCTGACGTCGTCTTCGAATCCCATTCTTTGGCACACTTTTCGACAAAAAAGACAAAATAGACGTTCTGACCAAATAGACATGCAAGGCTAAGCCCACTACTCGATGCACAAAGCCCCGTACCAGCTCGCACCCTACATCCTATCTTGATCTCTTTGGGTTCTAGGCCTCTCCGGATCACCAGTTCCTACTCCCCGCACCTGCTCATACCCATACGACGGTCCTCGCGACTTAGACCAACGAGCTCACTCTCTCGCGCTTTCACAGCTCACCGTTGTTGCACACCCAGTAAGCTGCTGCTGGTTGTACCTGGCATTGGCCCCAGTTCGAACCTGGTCCTCGCTCCAGCCACAGGCGCAAGCAACCATCTTATCGCAGTTTGAGTTGCCAACAGACGCACGAGACGGTACATACCTTGCGAATAGACCCAGCCGATTTGCAGTACCTACCGCCTTACATTGGCCGCGAGGTGAACGGGACCGCATTCTGCTCCCCCCGGGCACACTTCCCGTGCATCGGGATCAAGTCAGCCCCCTCAAATCGCCAATGCCTTTGTTAGAAGCCGTCAGGGCCAGTATCGGAACAGTACCGCAACCATGTCTCACGGACCACCTCAGCCTCCAACCAATTTTCTTGGCTTTGGGCCCCAAGATGCCTATTCCGCCTTTGAAGCTGTTCGTTCCGCCCGCTTTCCTAACCATGCTCCTCCTCCTGATCTGACAACTCATTTTCTTCCCCTCGACCGCCTCGCTTACCTCTCCTCTCTGTCACCCTTCCCGGCCTCCGACCCGCCAGACCCTCCGGCGCATTGTTTTGAGAAACCACCCCCATTACTGCAATTCGCTACAGACCGCTCCCAACAACGCGCTGACGCAATGCAGATGGCGGAAGCCGACCCCAACATCATGTCGTCTCTCCTGGACTCGACAGTCTACGGAAGCTTTGACGCCATGTCCATGAGCGTCGACAACCCCAACGACGAGAACGCCATGTCTACCTTCAACTTTGTCGGCAATACACCAATGCCCGACGGCCTCCCCGACGATACCCCTTCCATGAATAACAATTACTCCAACAATGGCGACGATACCTCCAGCGTAGTTGGTGGGGGCCCCATGCCCTCGAGCGGCTTCAATTCGCAGGCTTTGCAGCAGGCCGGCAGCACCCTCACCGAATTCACAAAGAGGCGCAACTGGCCAGCAAAGGTCGTCGAAGAGCTTAAAGACTTCCTCCAGATACTCGACGCCAATGGTCGCATACGTTTCGTCTCCCCGAGCATTCTAAATCTTACGGGTTATACCGCCGACGAAATCCTCGACACATTCCTCAAGGAACTCGTCCACCCTGACGACCAGGGCGTCTACGTCGCCGAGCTAAACGAGTCTATAGCATCAGGAAACCCGCTACGCTTATTTTTCAGGCTAAAGAAGAAGGATGGTAAATACGCCATTTTCGAGTCGGTCGGTCACGCCCACATCGCCGCATCCAAGTTTGCGCCGAACCCGCACAATCAAACGCCGTTTTGCCAAGCCGTGTTCATGATGTCGCGCCCGTATCCAACAAAAAATGCCGGCTTACTGGACTCATTCCTGGAACACAAGATTGAGAACGAACGTTTGAGGAGGCGCATTGCTGAGCTGCGCAAGGAGGAAGACATGGAGAATGAAGAATCACAGAGGCAGTGGCTCCAGAGCCAGGAAGGCAGGTCGGACGTAACACCATCGGAAACCACAATGACATCCGCCCCGAGCGCCATATCTCGAGCCGGTGACGGGGGCGACAGGTCATCGGCCCTCAACGTTGCGCTTACACGCGAAGCACTGGAGGGTGTTGCGGGGAGCCGCCCGGATTCACTAAAGGACAAGATGGCCAGATATGAAGGGAACTCACACACTGATACCATTGAGATGTTGACCGGACTGAGATACATCGAGGGCGAGAGGAGCCGCGGCATCACAACAGGCAACGCGAGTCCGACCTTGATCAAGGGAGACGCGGGCATTGCGATTCCACAGGACCGGGACCCTCGGACAGGTGACAAGAAGAAGAAGCTCAAGACTTCGGAGGAATATGTCTGCACGGATTGTGGTAAGCTCCAACTTGGGTGCGGCTTGCAGGCTGCTTGGTATGGCAGGATGCACGCAGCACACCGGCTAACGATGATGATCTGAATAGGTACCCTGGATTCTCCGGAATGGCGCAAAGGCCCTAGTGGACCGAAAACATTATGCAACGCGTGTGGCCTTAGATGGGCCAAGAAGGAAAAGAAGAATCGACATGGTAACAACAACGCTCATCACTCAGGATCGTTGCAAGTCGAGCATGGCGGAGGTTAAGTTTTAATGAGTCACCACTGGCGCATTGGTCGGCAAGTGCCCACGAGGACTGCCCTGGGCGTGGTCATTCCACATGCACCGGAGTTGGCGTCTGGAAGAAGGCATGGCGCAGAATATCAACTTTGACGGACATGCAGCTGTTTGCCATGTTTCCAGCTTTGTTATTTCACAGCAATCAAGATACCTGAAGACAATTAGGTCATGGGAAGGAGGAAGGTCGTAATTTTGGCAAGAGCAGTTTCCAGCAGCAGAATCTATTTCAAGCCATGTTGCTTCAACCGACGGGGTGATCATCCGGTCAGGCGAGTCAGACGCAGTTGATGTCCGCAGCGGCTCGGGCGGGACCTACCCGGACGTGCGGTCCTGTTTATCGCAGTTCGGCCGGCGGTCAAGATTTGACCCCAGTACCGGCTAGGAGGTGTAGCCTGGCTATCGGCGGACGGCAGGCATCGCGTCGCGCCCGGTGTTCCGAAGCGGATCAGCATTTGGCATTGACTGGCTACCTCAGCCACAGCTTGCCTCTCCAGGTTCTTCCCGCGGCAGAGGCGTACCGTCGAATCCAGGCTGCCACGCTCGGGATCTGAGTTGATTGCAGAGTATTACATCCGTTGCAGACCCGAATTCGCCTCGTTCACGCGTCCACGGCCATCCATCGACTGGCGTTGACACATGAAAGCCCGGGGGTTTCCTGAAACAGGTCGTTCGCCCTGGAGCTCTACACACAGCTGGGCAGGCTTCGTCCTTGCATAGAGGCGACTCAGGTCATCCCCGCGCGAATAAATTGCAGCCACTACCTTACGCTGCGCGACTGCTTTGCGAGGGTGTGTAGAGCTTGCTACTGTGGGTGAGACATAGGAAGCTAAGGTATCTAAGCAACAACCAAAGGTGCTAGGTTCCGTTGATCATCCAGGCGGGGGGCCTCTCACAGAAAGGACCCCGCTGTCGGGGCGGATCAGCTGTGGAGGGGTATCTACCTTGTGAGGGGCTACTTCAGGGTCCAACTGAGGAGCACTTGCCAAGGCACCGCCCATGGAGCCCAAACACCTCACCTCACGAAAACATCTGGCCCGGTTCTTAACGACTGCACACATTGTATCGCCTGCTCCGGCGTGTGCAAGCATCGAGCTGCGTCATTTGAGTTGCACTACCGACATGAGTAGTCTATGGACGGCCCGGGGGCTTGTGGTCCCCTCCCCATGTACAGCTAGCTTGCTCCATACCTTACAGGATGTGTTCTTAGTGGTTCCATTCTACCGCCGGGTGCTGCTCAGGTTGTTGATTGTGGCTGTGAACCGGGAGGCCTATCCGACCAAATCAACAGTCTGCCACAGATTCATTGGATGCCGTTCGATGCTGATTCGACGTTGCTTCTGAATTTGGAGGGGGCATGCAATCATGCATGGCCAGCTCAGGGCTCCTGAGACAGTTGATCGCCCGCTTGGTGATGCGGAGACGTGGCTCGCCTGTGCTATCTACAAAGAGCTATCAAAACCTGGGACTGCCTTACTTACGCTTTTAATTCTTCTCGTTCGCGTCATCTTTCCTCTCTCCATCATCTCCTCTCTCTTTTCTTCACTTCTTGCAAGACTAAGCGTTCTCTACCCCAAGAACCCCCACACTATTACATCATTACCCATCATCATCATCATCATCAAGCAACGACAAGCTTCTTCACAATGGACAAGCTCATGAACGCCGCGCAAGAGTACCTCGCCAAGGACGACGATAAGCCCAAGCAGCACCAGCAACAGGGCTACGGTATGTGTGCTCGTTGTCGCCGCCCTTTACAAGCTTTGGTGCCCCTCCATTGGGATACCTTGGTACCCCGCTGTCCCGGATCTTAACCCCGCCCCTGCCCCTGAATATCATCAAAGGTTAAAGAGAC